ATAATGTACGGTCTCTTCGACGAGCATAGAAGCTTCCGCTGTGCCACGATTAGGGATGAAGCCAAACTGCAGGTCGTGCGGGTGAAAAGAAGACTGCAGTTCCTCCAAAATCAGCAGTTCCAGGAGCTTTGAAGCACACGTTGTGATTGAGATGGGCCGGTAGTTATCAAGACAACTGGGATCGAGACGACTATTCTTCAAAAGCGGCACCACTATACTCTCGGTGAAAGAAGCCGGGACAGTGCAGGAAGATAGGCAGCCAGTCAATAGGCGAGCCAGCGCGTCTCGAAGAGGGGGAGAAGAGCCGAACATCAAGTGCTCAGCTGACACTCCATCCACACCAGGTGCCTTGCCAGGATGAAGGCGGTTCAGCAGATGAGTGACCTCATCTGGCGTTACAGTTCGGTGGGTGATCTCCGCACGAGCTCCTAAGACACGAGCTTCGACAGCGTCAGCAATGAGCCGCTGCTCGTCGCTGAGCTGCTCCCGGCTGTCGTGGTGGACAGTCTTGAAGTGGGTATAGAAATCAACCACAGAGCAGGCAGAGCCGACCGCAAGGCCGCCTCGCCGGGCCAGCTGGACGCGGTGCCAGAACTTGTTCAGCTTGCGATCACGACGCAGAAGACGGAGTAGCCGCGCCTGCTTCTCGATGTGTGAGGTGGCGGCCTTACGGCGTGCGTGACGATACGATCGTCTAGCTTCACGGTAGCAGTCGGCGACAGGAGCTGAATCTGGGCGACCGGCACAGACCCAGAGTCGGTACCAGAAGCGAGAGCGATCCCGAGCCGCTGCAGCGCTTGCAGTCCACCAAGACTTTGGCGAACGGCGTGGCTTCGAGCATTCGGCGATGCGAGCAGCATCATGGGCGCATTGCGAAATGGCTGCGTCAAGGGCATCAAGGGAGTCGTCGCAGGCTGGAAGAACTTCAGACAGCAGCCCGCTCAGTACTGCTCTGTAAGTTTCGTTCTTTTTAGGACAGCTCCAATCGAGGATGTCTGGATGCTTTGCAAGGCCGACATCCTGATGCAGTAGTGGGTTCCTGCTAGCAGGGGCAGAGACGGCCAGCCTGCAGATGAGCGGCAGATGAGGACTCAGGTTGTTCAGATCTGGAGGCACAATCTTGCAGCTTAGCACTTGCGGCATGAGAAGTTTGGGCACAGCGACATGGTCAATGTGTGACCGATTGCCAGCGCGTGAGTATGTATAACTAATCGGTTGGTTAAAATTGAACTCAGCAACCGATAATTCATGATCATCCAGGAGCTCCTGCATGGCCATACTGTTCGGCGTGTAGCCTCGAAGGCGGTGCCAGGTGGATGGACGAGATTCTCGAGGCAGCGGGCATAAAGCACAATTGAAGTCGCCGAGCAGCACTACGGGCGCGCTCGGCCGAAGAGAGGAGAGAATTGCGGACAATTTCCCCGTGACGTCAGCATATTCACCTGTATTAGCGCCGGACGAGTCCCAGTAGGGCATGTAGCACCCCACAACGCTGAGTAGCGGGCGGTCGTCAGCAATAACGGTGACACCACAGAGGCGCGAATCACCACAGTCCACAGAGCGGTAACTGAGACCTGGGCGACGGCGGCAGATCAGAGCCACTCCACCCCGCGGCCGGCCCTCTCCGGCACGCGGGGGTATCTCCATGGCAAACTGCTGCACGCAGTAAAAATCAGCAGGTTCTAGAGACGACAAAATGGTGGGCAGGTATGATTCCTCAGCACGTGATAGCCAGACTTCTGCCAGAAATAGAATGTCGCACTGGGACAGTAATTCATCAGCGATGTAATGCGCTGCTGAGAGGAAGCCCTCGCAATTATATGCGCCTATAGTGAGACTGCTGCCGGCGCTGCAGTTCTCCATTACCGGGCCGCTGGTCCCAGTACGTCTGCTGTGCGTGGCCTCTGTTGTTGCCGTTGTTGCCGATGTGGTGCTGTCCTCGGTTACGGCGGTTCCTCGCAACTTGCCACTGGCCGTGCTCCTGTCCGTATCCAGTGACAGCGTCCGCGTACGTATGTTGGCGCTGGTGAGCTGCTGTAGAGGCGGCGGCTCTGCGCAGTCCTCCGTCCTCCTCGTGGATCTGATGACGGACAGGCCCCGCCGGCGGCCAGGCTGCGGGGCTGCGGTCGGAGAAGGTCGGCTCTGAGGTACGAAAAGCACGCCTGCGACGCCGCCGATTCAGTGGATGTGTACGAACTGTGAGGCCAGCAGGCCAGTTACACGGGTCCATAACACGGCCTGCCTCATCAGCGTTAACTTCGATGATGTACGCTTTAGGTGCGCCATCTGTGCCGTGACGTGGCAGCTGGTGGAGGCTGTGCAAAATATGAACAGCTCCATGCACCAAACCGAGCACGTCTCGGTCAGAGACATCAGGTCGGAAGCCATCCAGCATAAACCTCTTACGAGGCTTAAAACGGGTTGCAGAGCTCATCACCAGAGCCGATGCCGTCCCAGCACCTGTCACTGAAGTAGGGCGTGCAGAACCAGTCGCACGAAGTTCCTCCTCAGGCTGATCAGCATCGGTTGCGACATGCTGAACACCCACGGCTACACCCAGTGCACGGCCGGAGTGACCGGCACGACCGTGCTGACCGCTCGGATGACCAGTCGTTGGCGCAGGCAGATCCGGCTCGCTGTCGGCGTCGGAGTCGCCAACGCGCCACTGCAGCGCGTCCGCGATAGCGCCACCCAGTGCACGGAGGTCAATACCAGCAGCAATGTCCGCTGCCAGACTGGCCTCCGGGTGAGGCTCAGGAGCCCCGCTAGCGTGAGACGCGGCGGTGTTTGGGGAGGACCTGTTCTGTGGCTGGGCTTCTCCAGCCGCGTGATCATCACCTGCAGTGCGCTGGGGTGGTAAAACCACATCCCGGGCAAGAAGATTCTCCACCAATGCCACTAGTTCGGCAATGCGTGTATCGCGTGCCGTGCATTCTTCGCGCAGTCTAGCAGTCTCTGTCTCCATGAAACGGAGGCGAGTATCAACGCTGGACTTGTTGCGCCTGAGCTCGGCCACCTCCCGCTCAAGGCTGAGCTGCATGGCAATGATTGCCTCCATTGAAGCCGTTGCTTCAGAGCCACTTGACGAATCAGTAGAAGGCGGACGAATCGGACCGGGAGGAGGCAGCGGATCACGGCCGGCCGACTTCAGAGTGTTGCTGTCTGCGCGTTGGGTCAGCACACCCTGAGCCACAGAGTACCCGAGGGCCCAACAGTCCTCAGCGAGAGCGCTGGTGTTGCCCGACACCCGGCGGCTGAGCTGACGCCCTGCGACGGCAGGCATGGCGGAGCACAGCGCGGTGTACAGCTGCTCTCTCAGTTTTCGCAGGTCGCTCTCCTCTAGAGTCAACAAAACTCCACAGACCTTGGCGGGCTCATACCGACCGGAAAAGATATCGTTTGGCGCCGATAAGATGGCCGCCTTCTCAGCGGAAGAGGCCTGGGCGGGGAGTAGGACGTCTAGAGGAGTCAGAGCCTGACCACTAGACTCTAAATTGTGGCTAGCATAGATGCTTACCGGCTCCTGTGTTTCCACTCTTTTCGGAGCTGTCTCTTCCATGGCTAAACTAGGCCAATGAACTAATTCAAAGCACCGCAGAATCGCAGTGATTCGACTTACACGTATTCCGAGAGAGAAGTGTCCAAAATTAGCACGAGAGTCACTGAAGAAAATCAAGAGCAAAGTCGCTGAGCGGAAATTCGAAAATTCGGTAACTGGGTCAAAAATTATCAAACTTTACAAGCTTATAATAGGGTGTTTTTCATATTAAATTAGATGCGAGTAGACCCATCTTAATCTACGTTAAATTAGGAGCTGTATGATATTAAGCACATATCACAAGGCGGAATAGGACCGCAAAAATATGCAAAACCATAGAGCACTTCCAAACACGTCCGACCCGGACCACAATCCAGCCCAATATGGGCTGGATTGTGGTCCGGGTCGGATAATAGCTAATCCCAATAGTTAATCCCTAATCCTAATAGCTAATCCCACCGAATGTGTTTAATGGCGTAAATGATTATAAGTGTTGCCTGAATGAATGGATGAAGCAATGTTGGGTAATTATGAATGTTACCAAATGCCGTAAATGCACATTTACGGCATTTGGTAAGATTGGGCCCTGGTCCCGGTGGTGTCGCTCTGGTAGTTATATGTAGAATCATAGATGGCGCCCAGTGTTATACTCTAGTCGATCGGATATGGCTGGGGTCTTCGGTGAGGAGCTCGATTGAGTTCGGAGAGTTATGCTGAAAGTAAAAATCATATCTCAAGTTTGAACCACGCAAACAACAATAACTTCTGGGTTAGTAAAGTTGCGGTAAAGGTCGACACCGTATTATCTACACTTACCTGTGTACACGATGAATTTTAGTTCCGTAGTCAACATACGTTTTACAGTTCACATCCAATCGGTACTCAGTGTTTTAGCTATGCTCTCAGATGAACTATTTCACTCTATGATTTCACACATCTCACTCGTTTTGTTTTACTGAGCCACAGAAGGGCCCAAGGACTGACTTGATCTTCGGATGGTTACCGTTTCCCGCGCACGTGCTCACTTGGTCCACCGACAGGCAGATAAATTTAGAAGTCGGACGATGCTTCACTACCGCTTGGTGTTGCGCAAAAACCGGAAGAGCCCCAATCACATTTTACGGCTGACGAGCTTAACGGTCGTAATATTAGGTATACTTCGGGCGCCGCGCGGCGCGCACCCGCATTTTTCTGGTCTCACCTCCCTCTCTCTCTCTCTCTCTCTCTCTCTCTCTCTCTCTCTCTCTCTCTCTCTCTCTCTCTCTCTCTCTCTCTCTCTCTCTCTCTCTCTCTCTCTCTCTCTCTCTCTCTCTCTCTCTCTCTCTCTCTCTCTCTCTCTCTCTCTGTCTGTCTCTGTCTCTTTTTCTCTCTCTTTGCTCAAGTTTTCTCTGTGTTCTCAGTAACGTTTTCTTCCTGTCCACACGGCAAAGATCAGTGGCACAGTTATTGCACAGCTACGTACTTCAATAGACGACAACATACATTACTTTATGCGGCAGTAGTTCAGGGCTGATGACCAAGTTAATCACACGAAGATGAACTGGTATATCCCGAGTTCATTCACACCGTCTCGTAATAAATATCCTCAGTGTCAACAATCAGCATAAATGGCAGGACGCTTTACAGTACATCTCCATGAACGTTGGGTTTTTCTCACACTCGTCTGTCCTCGCCCAGAAGTTACACAGCCGGTGCATGTCCTCGCAGACGTTCTTCTCGGAGCAAACCTTGCACGACAGCCGGCAGTAGATAAGCATGTAGCTGGGGTTCTCCTTGCATTGCTTCTTTCTGCTCCAACCTTTGCAGAGCCGGTGAAGATCGGAGCATGTTCCATCTGAAACAGATAATGAGGTAATAAGTATGATGCCTCGACAGTGATTAAATGGCTCCAATCAAGGGCAAACCAACATCATTGGACCTGTTTCTCAAGTTACAGCCATTAAGCTTTTATTACGTTCCATCATAATGCTTTGCCATTATTTATTGTTTCCTTCATTATCATTTATAAATTTCCAATGCATACAAATTCAATGCATCTGTAAATGACACAAGTTATTACGATTAAATATACCTAACTAGGAACTGAGAACAGGTTTAGAAGTGAAAACCCAGATAATCTAAAATTGGCTTCGATTTCTTCGCTGCAGGTTATTTTGCATCTCTTATCCCAAGACTTGTTTGAGGTAACCGGATAGAAGTTTGCAGACACCGGTACAGAGTTTGGATTAATGCCAGCTGGGTGATCATTTCCACCACCATTTCACCCTCGGCTTCCGTGATGGCGTCGGATTAGCCTTTTAGCTCATTACCATAGCTCATTCTGCATTCTTCGAACGGTGAAGTCTGCTTTTTATAAGATGAGCGTAATGTATAAAATTAATTTAGAAAGTAGCGAACACTTACATTGAGAATACAAGCTGTTTTAATCAGTTCAAGAAGGACAAAAATTGTCTCCCGTCTATATGCCCTCGCTGTGATAAACATCCCTTTTAATCACGTGTCCCACCTGAAGCTGTCTACTCACCGGTGCACCTTTTGCAGGAGCGGCGGCAGTGTTCGTGCATGTACTTCTCGTTTTTGCCACACTCTCCGCGCCGCGCCCAGTAGGGGCAGTACTGACTGTCGTCCCGGCAGTCGCCGTCGCCTCCCGGCGGGTCCGGAGGCGGTACGTCCTTGTCGTCACAGCCATACAGCCGGTTCAGCTTGCGGATGTCGATCTTGCTGAAGCGCTTCCGCTGACCCATCTCGGTCCGCGTGTCGCGCAGTGCCGTGAGAGTGGGCCGAAATTTGTTCACGGCAAACGCGTACGGACCGTAGTGCATGATGGATCCGACGTCGTAAGGCTCTGCTCTAGTCGCGACTGTGTCCCAGTCGTACTTTTTGAAGTTGATTAGCATGTTCCTTCGGATGTTGTCCGTGTGTACAAAGACATGATTATCACGATCAGGTCGACTCTGTTCATGCCAGAAACCAAACGCGTGCATGAACTCATGCATGACCACACCGGGAAAGATGCAACCCTGGCCGAGCGAGAGTTCCTGACTGCGAGATTGGGTGCTCTCCATTCGACCGACGCCACTGTAACATCCGCGACCCTTCACCACGTTCACATAGTGCCGACTGGTATCACCGGGAGGCAGCGGACGCACGCGTAGACACGTGTGCCGCTCAAACTCCATGACTGCGCGCGCAATGACGGCTCGCTCGTTGCGATTGAACTGGGGTGCCAGGGCGTAGTGCAGCACCCCGTCCGGCCACAGCTTGTGCGGCTCGATGGCGTCGCTGTCCTCGCTGATGGTCACAAAGTCGCTCGGTGTGATGATGATGTCGCCCTCGAAGTGATCCTCGCTGTTGAGCACGTTGTCGACGTCGAGCGGCGGCGGAAGAAGAGGCATGAACTGGGCGCGTTTGAAATCCTGCGGCGTCAGCGGCTCGGACCTGGCCAGCACCTCCTCGTCGGAAGGACGGTCGTCTCGCTCCAGCAGCTGGCCGAACGGGCCGAAATGCGAGTGCGGCGCCGGAGGCGGAAGATGCAGGGAGTCACGCGTATCCACAACCCGCGGACTCTGCGAAATGGCCAGCAGTAGTGTGTTGAGCGGCACCGTTCCGGTCTCGGCAGCCTTCAACACGGCGTCCTGGTCGAATGGCAGCGGCGGACGACTCGCAGTGAGGTTGGACGCGCCGCAGACGGCCACCAGCGCCGCAGCTAGCAAGGAGCACCGGGACGGGACCCGCATGGCGCTCCGGGTCGGCAGTGGAGCACAGCTCGGTGGATAGCTCGGTATGGCAGTGGAGACACAGCTCGTCGGACTGCTTGGCAGTGGGAGCTCAGCTTGCAGGGGAGCTGTATAGAGGCTGGCAGTGGGAGCCCAGAGGGACAGCTGTGGGCCGCACGCGCCGCCGGGTGACCCCGGCTGGCTGAGAGGAGCGGCACTGACTGACCGACCGGCACTGTCGGGAGCGGTGACCGGACGCGCCGGTCCGCCCGGTCAGGGATCCGTCCGGACCCGTCCCGCCCGCGCTGAGCCTCCAGCGACACCGTCGACCGCGACCACTGCCCATCATTCCGGTGTCACTCCTACCCCACCAGCCAGAAGATTAGACGCGATCATACGGGTGTAAGATGGTAGTGAACGTCTAATAACACTTGCACATTATTTTACGTTTTTATGTGCGATATTTACCCATTTCTTACCATTCCCTCTTACGATATTTACCCATTTACCCATAATAAGATCCGGTTTGTCTTTTGGTATATAAGCTACCGGATGTTGCAGATTTGCAACTTATCGCTACTAATCGTTAGTCGTTAATTTCTTTGTAAAGTAATCGTTTATGGGTAACTAGGTATTCTCTTGTACTAAGCACAAAAAAAAAAAAACATTTTAACATAGGTACCTACTCTAGAGTGGTCAGGCATAGTCACTCAGAAGCTTACAGTTGTCTGTCTGCATAGTTTCTATTCGGTTCCGACAGCACCGTGCGCGACTGGTTAGTGGTTTTGGCTGACTGGCGCCGGCAGGTATCACAATATCATATTGTCCCTGTTTTGATGTTATATAATCAATCACACTACCTGCCTTCTACATGCTTCTATTTATCTACCCGAGACTGCAAAAAATGCTTAACGATGTCTCTAATGGTAAGAAGGAATCTTGACATTTGTTAAGCTTTGGTTTGGTTATTCATTATGGCTCAGCTGAATCCAGGCATAGGCGAAGAGTTACATAGAAGAGTTAACCCTCACCGGCCGAGGGGGGGGGGGGCGCAATAGAGAGCTGAAACTTGGCATACCTGACCTTTGATTCAAGCCGGATCTTTTGACACCAACTGCATTTTTGGGTCAGGTGAGGTCACTGACCTATGACATCATAAGTGAACCTCTGCACGGTCTTCAGACGTCGCAACTTCGCAACGCCCTCACTGCCAGAGGAGATGTCAGAGGGAAATTAAACTTGCAGGATCTATTATCCATTATGAGTCTCACATCTTGCATATCTCAGATTTTTCCTAAATTTCATATGAGGTCAGGTCATTTTCGTGACCTCACCATTATAAGTCAATGGGGAAAAATGAAAACTGTTATTCTGGCGCCGGAAACGATCTCCAACTATCTCAAGCACACAGAATCGGATTCATGCACTCCTTGCAAGGTTAGATGCGTCACTTTTGCAATTTTTGACCTTGCGTGACGTCATTTATGACGTCATCAAGGTGGTCATATTAGTTTTTCGTCAATAACTCCTGATCAAATTGAGCTAGCGAGTCGGGAAAGCCACCATTGGACTCAGGAAGACCTGCCGAATCGAATGATATGCGACATGACCTCTTTCGACCAACTTCGTGACCTGGGGGTGCTGACCTGACCTTGACCTGAGGTCAACACCCCAAGTTGACCTGACCCGGACAAAAAGTATATCATTCGACGCGCCTGAGCGAGGCGAAAACGAGGCTGCCAAAATCGCGGCTCTGCGGCCGTTTTTGCGAAGTTATTCACCAAAAACTGAACCGTACTTTGGGGCACTTGACCTGACCTCAGAGGTTACCGGTTGACCTCGGACCTTAAAATCGGGTACCAACCAATCTCTGCGTCTCGTAACGATGCACACGCTCGTTTTTTTCGCGACGCGCTAGCTCCACCAGGGGCGAAACGGCGAGGGGGGGGGTCGTACCCCCCCCCCCCTCGGCCGGCGCGTATGTAGAAAACCAATAGGTCCGGCGAGGGTTAACCCGCGCGGGGCTGGGAGGTAAATTTTACCCCCCCCCCCCCTCGCAAATTTTTGCAATATCTAAAAAACGGCAGCGCGCAGCGCCGCCAAACTTTCAGTACCTTTTCTTACATCAATTTTACACGTTCTCTGAAAATTTGAGCGAAATCTGTCGGAAATTTTTGAGAAATTGACGTTTTAGTGACGTCATGTTCGCCATTTTCACCTCAAAAACGGCAAAATTTCAAACGCCGCTAACATCTTCATTTTTAAAGGAATCAAGGCGTAACAAAATGGTTATACGTAATTCTACTTTGTCTATCAAATGGCTATCTCGTTTTTTTTTTAGATTTTGGCCCAATTTTTTCAAAAAACTGACTTTTTTGGGAAAATAATTATAAAATCCAAAATTTTGAGTGTATCGAAAAAACCGGAATATTTGTCAGAGAAGTGGTCTATGTGCACCTACATACCAATTTTTAGAAGAATCGGTTCAAAAATGTGGGAGTTATTCAACATTTTATGACGTCACGACACACATAAATTTTGAAATATGATTTTTTTGGACGTTCTAGACCTCGTACGGAAACAAAAATAACGCCATTCGATTTGCCGTGCAAAACTGCATCAGATAGACACCTTTTTAGGCCTTAACAACCATCTTCAAAATTTGACCTCACTTGACCTGACCTTGACCTGACCTCGACCTGAAATTCATCCAGAGGTGGTCCATATCCCTTTTTGAGTGTGCCTTTTGAATTCTATGAGTAAAATGACCCATAAAACATGTGTCGCACATGCCCTTTTCTACATTTTGTTTTTGTTGACCTGACAGCTGACCTGACCTTACCTTGACCTTGACCTCTGAATGATATTGTATGCAACGAATATTGTCTTGGTAGCCTAAGAACACGTTTTGGGCAATCAGTCTCAGCCCATGACTCCATTCTTCGGCAACTACGGTGCAAGGCCGATACTGTAGACACTTGCAATTTGTAGCCTTGACCTGACCTTGACCTTGACCTCAAACTTTAAATTAAGTACATGTTTTTAGTTGTTCGTGATGAGATCTTTCGATTGGCGTTTAAATTTTCCAAATCGGACCATTAGTTCGGGAGATAACAGGGGGGGGGGGTCAAATTTACCCCCCCCCCCACAGCCCCGCGCGTTCGGCTGGAGACTCCAGCCCCGCGCGGGTTAACCCGCGCGGGGCTGGGGGGGTAAATTTTACCCCCCCCCTCGCGAATTTTTGCGATATCTCAAAAACGGCGGCGCGCAGCGCCGCCAAACTTTCAGTACCTTTTCTTACATCAATTTGACACGTTCCCTGAAAATTTAAGCGAAATCGGTCGGAAAATTTTTGAGAAATTGACGTTTTAGTGACGTCATGTTCGCCATTTTCGCCTCAAAAACGGCAAAAGTTCAAACGCCGCTAACATCTTCATTTTTAAAGGAATCAAGACGTAACAAAAAAGGTTATACGTAATTTTACTTTGTCTATCAAATGGCTATCTCGGTTTTTTGAAAATTTTGGATTTTGGCCTAAATTTTTTCAAAAATTGATTTTTTTGGGAAAATCATTATAAAATCCAAAATTTTGAGTCTATCGAAAAAACCGGAAGATATGTCAGAGAAGTGGTCTATGTGCACCTACATACCAAATTTTAGAAGAATCGGTTCAAAAATGTGGGAGTTATTCAAAATTTTATGACGTCACGACACACACATTTTTTGAAAAATGACTTTTTTGGAAGTTCTAGATCTCGTACGGAAACAAAAATAGTACCATTCGATTCGCCGTGAAAAACTGCATCAGATAGACACCTTTTTAGGCCTTAACAACCAACTTCAAAATTTGACCTCACTTGACCTGACCTTGACCTGACCTCGACCTGAAATTCATCCAGAGGTGGTCCATATCACTTATTGAGTGTGCCTATGGAATTCTATGAGTAAAATGACCCATAAAACAAGTGTCGCACATGCCCTTTTCTATATTTTGTTTTTTGGTGACCTGACCTGACCTGACCTGACCTTGACCTTGACCTCTGAATGATATTGTATGCAACGAATATTGTCTTGGTAGCCTAAGAACACGTTTTGGGCGATCAGTCTCAGTCCATGACTCCATTCTTCGGCAACTACGGTGCAAGGCCGATACTGTAGGAACTTGCAATTTGTACCCTTGACCTGACCTTGACCTTGACCTCAAACTTAAAATTAAGTACATGTTTTTAGTAGTTCGTGATGAGAGCTTTCGATTGGCGTTTGAATTTTCCAAATCGGACCATTAGTTCGGGAGATAACAGGGGGGGGTAAAATTTACCCCCCCCCCCAGCCCCGCGCGTTCGGCTGGAGACCCCAGCCCCGCGCGGGTTAAGAGCAGCCTTTAGCAGTTCATGTATCGCAGGTCAAATGAGCTCACATAGGTAGGTATTCACGGGCGATTTGAGAGGCAAGTTGCCACGGTTTATGCGCTATCGAATGAAGTTGGTAGGTAGGTAGGTACTGTAAGTACTCGTAGGTAGGTACTTTCGATTGCAACTTTTCCTAATCATTGCATTCAAGGTCTCAGATAGGTACTCGTACGCATTTTCAGATTGGTAGTGATTGGCAAGTGATTCAGATGAGATTGGCAAGTGCATTTTCGACAGACCTGTATAAGGCCGTAAACGGCCTTAATCATATCATACTGTGAGTCGTGTGAGACCTCTCGAAGTTATGGCTATTTTAAAAGCTTCTTTATGCTTGACCGAGCCATGCGACTGAGTACCTACCTAGTCATTTTTAGCACTCCAGATCAATTGAGAGAGGAGAGGCACAAGGTGTTGTGCAGGTTGAGAGCCACTGATGGCCTTATCGTTGATCCCTCTAGGTACAGGGTAACTTTTAAAGGGGGAAAGGGGGAATTCCCCCTTCGAAAATTCCGCTCCCCCTTTCAAATTGTGCGTGAACGGCTAGGGAGGGAAGGGGGAATTTCCCCCTTTCAAATTTATTTTTGAGCCCATTTTCAATCAATTCGCTACTCAGATTCTATAATCATCGTTGATCAGACTCTAGTCATCAATCAACGTTGCTGGCGCTTAGATAATTTTCAATTTGAGGTTCCATCCAACCATTTTACGTTCAGTGCAGCGGGAACTCCAGATTTGACCCGATACCGGTCGGATGGTCGGTGGGACCGTCTCTTGTCTTGTCTCTTCCCGCCGTCTCTTCGCAATCACTGACATATCGCTATCAGGCGTCGGCGTAGAAAGCGGCGGGGGACGGGGGTCCGGGTCATGATCTCTCCGAACCAAGGGTCTTTTCGAACCAGGGTCATTCAATCGGTCTTGGCCTATCAAAAATAGTCACGTGTTAACCTCTCTCTATTTAGAAAGGCGCTACTTGATGTTTGGCCAGGGTAATAGGTTGATACTACTGATTGACATTTGCAAGGGCGCAGTCAAGTTGGGACCAAGTTGGGACCTCCCCCGCCCCTTACCGCCAAGGTAGGTACATACCTAAGTATATTTTTTAGCTAATTTATTTTTTGGCAACCTAACAATATAAAGTGGCCAGAATCCGGGGAGAGAGTAGGATTTGGGGGTAGGTAAGGTTCTGCAGGTGCCATCCTAACAAAAACCTTACGGCATTGGGCCCCCTTTCAGATGCCCCTGGATCCGCCCTTGCCCCGAACTTTATTCCCCCTCTCGACTTTTCCTGTAAAAGTAACCCTGTCTGGGTAAGGTCAAAGAGTTCTGGAAGTGCCAGCGAATGGATGCATTGATGATTGACAGATCCAATAAGCCGCTTAGGTACGCTATGGGGCATACATACCGTAAACATAGACACAGTCATAGGCGTGTATACATAAGCAATGAAGTTTCGTTTTGTATTGTCTGCGTTTTAATAGCTACGTTAATGTCTGCGTTTTAAACTGAAGAAAAAAATCTACTTCCATCACTAGAGTTAAACACAAGTTGAGAAACAATTAACATGCCAATTTTCGCCTTTTTATCCTTATGAATTGCCTCAAAAACAGAACAGACCTCACATAGTTGAATATCAGCAAGTTTAGTTAAATGAGTTGCGTTTTTAATTTATTTTTCTGACTTGAAGTCGTTGTACTTGCACTTGCATGTTTAAAGTACTCGTAAGTACTTTGACTTTTGAGACTCAAGCGGCGCGGTGTGGGTGTTTGCGCGCGGCGTTGTTTGGCAAGTTTAACGGATTTGCTTACATATATCTGTTTGATTATTTAAAATATTCTCATTTTGATATATTTCTATCGGTTAACCCTTTTCGACTTATGTCTTTTGTGCAGTGTACGATGTCATTTTGATTTTGAGGCAAGAGTGGCGCGCCCCGTGGGTATGGAGAATGCAAAGCTTGAAATTTTAGCTACATTGACATGTTACTGTGTATGCGGTCTAAAATATCATTTCGTTTTGTTTCCGTTTTCAAGCTCAATATAGAAAGATATTTTTAGATATGCTCCGATGTGACTTGGTTCTTCTATTTGTCACAGGATGCGAAAAGTCCTGCTCCTGACTTTCGGTACTTCTTCCCTCGTAAAATATGTAAAGGCGTTATTGTTTATTTTGATGATAATATGGGAAAGTTAACTGCATCATGTGTTAGGTTAAGCCCAATGTCAGCTTTTCACGTAGCTGTCTAAGTTAGCCTTAAGAGTTGTCACTCTTGTCCCTCTGAAAATCAGAAGGGCAGAAATTAGTCATTTAAAAATTAATGTGCTTGTGAAATAATTGTAATGAAGACTTCAACTTTATTAATAAACCATACTCACTTATCGATGTTATCAGCATTATGTTGCCAAAATTCTTGTCATGTTTATTTTATTTGTCTATTTTTAGTCTTTCTCCTAAATATTTGTCCATATTACCAGTATAACGCCTTTTGGGGCGACTAACGGAGCGAGCGAGAGGGTGGGCCTTGCACGTGCGAAATTGCGAGGGGGTACCTCCAACTGACTTGTGCACGGCACCCTACTAACCGGTCTCTAGCGATGTGCCAAATTTGGGCACAATCGCCCCAGCCGTTCTCGAGATCTGGAAGCGGCACCCTGCACGTGCGCACGTGCAAAATGGGTCCCAACTGACTTGTGCACGGCACCCTACTAACCGGTCCCTAACTGTGTACCAAATTTGAGCGCAATCGGTCGAGCCGTTCTCGAGATCTGGAAACGACCCCTGCACGTGCGCACGTGCAGCAGCACCCCAACTCTGGCACATGGATATGCAGTGCCTAGTGGGTGCCTACCTACATGCCAACTTTCAGCGCAATCGGCCAAGTAGTTACCGAGATATTGCAACAATTACAAAACGGACACCTCTTCGTTTTGCACGTGGCACGTGCATAAGGGGTCACCCACATGCATCGGGAATAGTCCAATACTTGGTAGAAGGAATGCAGCTACCCTACAAAATTTACCGCATGTAAATCGGTCAAGTGGTTGCTGAGATATAAGCCTCGCAAAAGCGTGACCACGGCCGGCCGGCCGGCCGGCCGGCCGCTCATACTCAGAAATTTCCGTTAATCTAAGGAAAGACTACGCTCGCTTCGCTCGCTCCGTAACAATAAAGGATCACTTCTTCAGTATTATGAAGACATATTTATGAAGTCTTATGGCCAAGTATTGAAAACCAAAAATTTTTATCTTAAGTTTAAGAACAAAGACTTTATATTTTGATTACCTACCTTTTTTGGTTTACAACTCTTGGCCATCAGATTTAACAGCATCAATCATGTATAAGCTGACTACTGGGTTAGACGCTTAATGCCTTGTCTAAATTATTCAATAAGAAATATATCAATTGATAGAAAAAGCAAATAGACAGGTTCTCTATTGCTACCTATGCACTTGGGAATGCCCATTCAGCAAATGTACTGATATCTTGCATCCATCCAAATAATTATTTTAAAAATAATAATTTCATTGATAGCTCACTGTGTCTTGTTCAATCATTTGTTGACGGGCATTTGCTCAAACACCTGTTGTACCAAATTTGTTTTGCATAGTGTAACAAGTTGTATTTCCCCAATGAATATTGCTTATTTTGATATACATATTCAGAGAGAATGTAAATAAGGCCATTATGAGTTGGTCTTACCAAGTATTGTCATTGGAGTTGTAGTAAGACCATTTACTGATACAGGTGGCCTGTTGCTTAATGTGATAATAAACCTGCTAAATTTTATTGGTGTTGGTCCATCAAATCTTAATCCCAAGCTATGTCATTGTACTTAACCAGTTTTAAGTCCATACATTTGTTAGCCAGAGCCAAAACTAAAAATTTATTGGTAACAACTGTTGGTAAGGTGTTTCAAAAAGGTGCTGAATGCTGATGCATGCTATCATCCAAAGATCATTAATGCATCGAAGAAGGAGAGGTTTTCTGGTTTCAGAATACAATGCTTGAGTTCTGAACAGTCATGAATAGATAATTTTTCCAACTTTGAAATCTCACTTCCTTGGTTATTTAAATAAAGTGTAGCAAAATCATTTTGCATAGGTAATTAATTTGTCAGTATAACATGAATACTTTCATTTTTTCTGTTAAGTTTTGCTTCTTATGCTTTTTGTCCCCTTTGTATAAATTTATTTACATTTCCTATCCTCAAAGACTTAGATAAATTGTAACCATTACCTCTCTTGAATGATGTGTGTGCTGACATTTAAGTATTGTTTAATGTGTCCTCCTTGCTTTCACAGGATACAGATCCATAAGGATGGATCCAAGATACCCTGACTACAACTCAATGGCAAATGGTATGTACTTTCATTTGTGCACTCTGTTATTTTCCCTTGGCATCTTATGAAGTGAAAGCAATTATTTCCTGCCTGACTGTAACTATTCACATTTCACATTGGGAATATTGAACCACTGATCTTTCCGTTGATGGCAGCATGGTCTGAAATCATATCAAAAGTGTAAATTCTATTCAATTGTGGTTGGATGTAGGTCATAAAATGACCATTCACACAAATGCCTTTTCTTGTTGGAATTGGGGATGGAAAATGGTCAGAAGTTGGAGTTGATAGTTAAAAATGATGAATGATTTTATTTTGATGTCACTTTCCACCTGAACTGACAAATTTTGGGACACTGTCCTGGAGCCAGCACAGATGATCATGGGTTCATCTGGTCTTGGGTGCTGTAAATGGTGGTTAGGGTGCAAGTACACGTTGCAGTAATGGGACAGCCTTACCTTTTCGTGCTATGCTAGTATCGAGTTTCTTATGGCCCTCACGGAGCTCTCTCATTCCTGCGCCCAGGCCGGCCGGCTGACGGCGGCGCCGCCGACGGAGCCGAGCGGGAGCCGCCGGAGCAGTTGGGCGACTCCAGTGACGAGGACGGCCGGCAGGCCGATGGCACAGAGGACGAGGATGAGGACGAGGAGGAAGAGGTGGAGGAGTATCTGGACGAGGGCCGGCCGGACGACACGGCCGAGCTGGCACGCCGGGCGGCCGCCCTGCCGGCCAAGATGCAGCCCGTCTACCGGCTGCTGCAGGTGCTCATGGCGCCCGAGAACCACGTGCACAACTGGCCCTTCATGAACGCCGTGGACTCCAACAGCAGCACATTGTGGGACTACGACACGGTCGTCACCACGCCCATGTGGCTCAAGAAAAGTAAGTGGGGACTTTTTTGCAGCGTAAACGCGTCGTAATCTGCCGAAATAATCAACTGATTACTTTTGTAACTTTTGGTCATCATTATCGTGCTTATAAAAGCCGACAATATGCATCAATAGGTCAGTCAAAGCATGTAAGTTTTTATATGTACATCTGTCCTGTCCATCTGTGGGTTTTGACTAATTCATTGTGCCTCTCTCCGCCAGTCCGTGAGAAACTGCTGCTGCTCGAGTACGAGTCGCCGACAGAGGTGTTTGCCGACCTGCGGCTGATGCTGCGCAACTGTTACCGCTACAACGGGCCGCAACACAGCGTGACGCGTCGCGCGCTCCGGCTGGAACACATGATGGAACAACTCATCGAGCAGCTCGAGCCGTGAGTGATCGGGGCGGCCGGCAACGGGGAGAGTCACAGCGGGGCCTGTCCGACAGATCCTTTTGCCAATCTGGCTCGGAAATTGTGGCCGTTGAGACCCATTCCAATTCACCCCTACAAGCCTTAGGTATTCATTATTCAATATTCATGTTATATAATATATTCCTATTGCTTTTGCCTTTTCTTCCACTCTTACCAGTCCACCCACGCGGTTGGGAAACGGTATGACATTATCCAGTTGGTCCATCACAACATTCCGTCTCGATTTATTTGGTGCCATCCGCCGGGCGACTCTACCTTAGCAGCAGCGACGCCGTTGCCATAGTCATGACACCGCTCGTTTGCCCTCAGGGAGCTGCGTCAACAGTGCACATTAGAGGCCTCGGAGGGCGCCGACGCTGTGGTCGACCCCAAGATAGTCAACAGACGCCGCTCAGTGCGCAACAAAGCACGTGAGTAGACCGGCGCGGGGAGGGTGCTGATCCGACGGGGTTGGCTTATCGCTGAGGCCGGGCGCCGGGACCGTATGGCGGTACTGCTGTACTTTATCGGTCGATGCTAGAAGCTATCGGTGTTAGAGCCAAGTGTCCGCTGACTTTCATTGCTTTGTAATTGGGTTAGCCGTCACGATTGCTCTTCATTCTGTTACGTTGTAGTTTCCATTGTGTTTGGTCTGATGTCCGTTTGACTTGTTGTGTGTTTGTGTGCTTGGCAGCGGGTTTCTTTTCGCACGTGCTGCACTGGGTGCGCCACGAGCGGGCCGACCGGGAGAAGGAGTTTCGCCGCCAGCAGTTGGAGACACGCCGCCAGCAGCGCAGGGAGAAGGAGGACAGTATCGTGGCCTGGGAGGAGCGCCTGCTGCAGGGACAGACCGGAGACTGGCTGAAGGCCATGTGGGAGGTGAGGAGAGTGGGAGGCGTAAGGTCATGTGGGAGGTGGGTGACTGATTGGGGGCGTTTAGACCAGGACTCTCCTTTCAATGTGTGTGCTCTCGTATGTTGAAGCGACGTGGATGTTGTGTTCGGTACTTTGATGAACTTGAGCTCGAAATAAGTGACGGGCTTTGATGAACTTGAGCTCGAAATAAGTGACGTCTCTGTCCACGTCTCTCATTCCTCGCATTGTCCGTTTTTTTTTTTAACCACAGCCATTTACTTACTTTTGAAAGCTCTCTTCCCGGAGCATAGCACACTGTTAAGCAGTAGGTTTGCTAACCATGGAACATTGACCGCCGTTTGTCTGTTCCTGCAGTTACCGCAGATGGCTCAGTTCATCCATCTCAGCCTGCGCGCGCTCAACATCTTCGAGGTACCGCTGTACGAGCTGGAGCGCATGTTACTCGTGCCGCAGTCGTCGGAGACGCTCGCCATGCTGATGACGTCACTTGTCAGGTCAGTGAAGTCTGGCGTCCAGACAGTCAGTTTGCAGTGGGCGTTAAGGTTCTGTAATGCACAGTCCGTCTACGCTCGTTAGTTCTGCAATGTGTGATGTGAATGTCTAAGGATCAGTGTTTTTCTCACGTTCCCAATGTGTGTCTGCTCGCTTTTTTACATTTCCTGACTCGTGTCTGCTCGGTTTTCTAACATTCCCGTCGTGTCTATTCGCGCCTCCAGCGGTCCGCTGATCCGTACCAAGCTCTCGGAGATGCCGCCCATGCCGTACACCATGTGGACCGAGAAGCTGGCGGCCCGGGTGCAGCTGTGGTACCGCGCCTACGTCAAAGAGGCCGGCCAGACGGACCGGCTGCTCGACACACAGGGTATCGAGCCCGACTTCTGGCGAGTGGTCGGCACCACCAACCCGTTCGAGGACAAACTGTTCCACGAGCTCAGCTTCTACCAGCGCGTCTGGATGGTCAAGACCATGTGCGACTTCCTCTTTGTAAGTGAAGGACTGTTCTCTTCTCTGATGATTGTTGGAATAATACTTTCAGTTGTTCACCCTCCATTTCCTTGACATTTTGGATGATCATTCTGCCTGTATCAATTGAACATCTTTTGGTTGGCTACAAACATGAACTAATTACGTCCTTCTGAAGAGACAACAAAATATGCCCTCCTCACTGCTCAGTGTCGACTCATCACGTCTTTCTGTCGGTGCTCCCTGACGTCCTAATCTGTCGTTCGTTTCAGCACAACCACAAGACGGTGCAGGACTGTGTGATGGAGAGCTCGATGACGGAGCCGCGGGAGAGTCTGCTCGGCGTGGACCGGCACGGCTACGAGTACATCCACCTGCCGCACCTGTTCGTTCAGGACGTGCGCCTGTACCGGCGGCGGCCGTGGCGCGCGCCCGACCACTGGCGCGCAGAGCCGCCGGCGCCGCCCCCGCCCCCGCCGCCGCTGCGCGCCTCCCAGCTGGGGCCCGCCTGGACCCGCGCGCGGCTGGAGAAGTTCCGTCGCCAGCTGACTCAGCTGCGCGGCGGCTCCGGCCGGCGCGGCGGCGCGCGCAAGACCGCCGTGCGCCGCGTGTTCACCTGTCTGGGAGGCTCGGCCACGCCGGCCGCCTCGCCTTGCCATAGCGACACGGAGCTTTCCGAGTCGACCCCCGGCTCCAGCGGCCAGAGTGATGCCGACGACGGGCCCGAGTTCACCCTGACCCGCTCCGGGCGGAAGTCGCAGCGGCCTCCGCGCTCCGCGAGCAGGAGGTCGTCCTCTGCCGCCGCCGCCGCCGCGCCGTCCACACCGGAGCCCACGCCGTCGCGCCGCGGCGGCCGCCGCTCGGTCAGAGGCAAGGGGCGTGCGACGAGCAGCAGTCGGGGGACAACGCCCTCCAAACAGCCGTCGACGCCTTCCAAGCAGCCGGCGGCGGCCGATCTGGTCAGTCGGCTGGGCTGATTGGTGTGGTGCAACTGATAGCGTGGGGTGGGTTCAAGAGGGTTAGCCGGTTAGATACACGCGCTTTATACTAACGTGCTCTATATGAGTCGCATTCAAGCATGCTTATAGGTAACGATTCCGACTACATTGTAACCGAGCTGCTGCTGCAGCCTTCATTCATATACTTTTTCTGTCAGTACAAATCCGGAAAAGTAACCCGTTGATCTGTCGTCCGAACTCCGCCTACAGTCATGGTGCTAATCTGCCCTGCGCGCTAACCAAGTGATGTTTGTTTCAGAACGTTTGTCCTCACTGTGGAATGTCGATACGTACCGCACGGGCCCGGAAGGCGCATCGCTGCTTCCAGGAACAGGTGAGTGTTGACGTGCCGCGTATGACAGAACGACGCCTCAGCTTTACTTGACGTGACTTAACTTCGAAATTTGATGTCTGGTGGTGTCACTTATTCATACGATAACGAGCTGATGTGCTTGCTCTGTTTAGATAATGCATACATGTTGGAACTTCTGCTGTGCTGTCAGTTAACTGGTATTTGCCTTTGCTGCGTTCCAGGCGCTGAATTCATCAGTTGCGGTGGCAGCGGCGGCCGATTCGTCATCGGCGCCCTCCGATAATGACGATTCGTCAGACGGCGAGAGTCCACCGCCTGCGCCGGCGGCCCGGAGTCGCGGCCGACGCTCCGCGAACCGGCCGGCGGCGAGTCGCGGCGGACGGCAGGGACGGGCGCCGCGCGGCCGGTCCCGTCCCTCCCGCGGTCGGCGACAGACAGAGGAGCAGGAGGAGGAGGAGGGTCGCGGCTCGGTGGCTGACTCGCTCTCTGTGGCTGACGAGCTGTCGCGGCAGTCGGCGCCTGAGCTGGAGTCGGTTGGAGACGAGCTGTCGCGGCTCTCTGCGCCGGACGCGCCGGACGACCACTCTCCCGACCGCTCGCCGCCGCAGCTGGCACCCGTGTCGCCTTTGAAACGTCCCTCCGAGGCCGCCGGTCCGGCTGATCTCTCAGAAATGGACCTAGATGAGGACACGACCCCAGCTCCGGTGATTGAGAATGGCGCCGCCGGCGATGACAGCGACTCCAAATCATCACCGACCGCTGACACAGCGGCTGACGGTCCCGCAGAGGAGGCCGGGCCCCCTGCGCTGTCGGCCGACGGACAGATGGACACAGTGGCGGGTGGTGATGGACCGGGTGTGGCGGAGTCTGGGCCACAGGATGGGCATTGTGAGGTGACAGATAAACCCGATGGTGTCAGTGCTGCGGGCAGTGATCGAACAGCGGGTAGCGACCGGCCGCCGAGCCCACCCGCCGCGGCCGGCGACCAGCCAATCTCAGGGCAAACGGTCAGTAAAGGCATCGAGCCGAGTGTAGAAAATGGGACTGTGGGGACCGGTGGGGGTGTGGGTGGGGCGTCCGGACCCGTCCTGGAGCCCGGCGAGGAGGCTATGGACGCCACTGACGTGAACATGGTCCCCGCCGAGAGGACAGGGGAACAGGGCACCGATGGCGCACAACTCGTGGATTTTAAGGGCACTTTGGACGCCGTGAAGAGAGAACCCGATGAGCGTAAGTCTGAAACTAGTGACATGGATTGCGAGACTGATGACAGGAAGACAGGAGCAGGCGACCAAAAACTTAAAGCAGACGGGGAGAACCCTGGAGAACTTGACCAGAAGGCTGGAATACTTGACCGGAAATCTGCAACAGATTGTGATAAACCTGGAAGTGGTGATCAGAAGCCCGGAACGCCTGAGCAGAAACCCGCGATAGATGAGAAGCCTGGAGTCGGTGACCAGAAAGCAGCCTTTGATGGCCGCACCATCAAGTCTGAAGCACCGGACGAAATCACCAACCCCGAGCCATCCGACGCAATCGTCAAGTCTGAGCCAGAGGTGAACACCTCAGCACCTCCGGTGAAGAGTGAGCCAGGCGAGTCGCCGCGGGTTAAGGAGGCTGCTCGTGCCGACGGTGGTACCGGCGGCAGTGAGTCGTCGGAAGGGGATGGCGGTGGCGCGGCTGACGGCGAGCTGGCGGTGCCGCGGCCGGTGCCCGAGCCGGAGCACCTGGCCCCGCCCGACCCCGACCAGTTTCAGCTGGTGGCCAGCACGTTCGACGGACTGCGGAAGTTAGTGGACACGTTCGACCCGGCCACCGCCACCGCCGACACCGCCAACAGCAAGGTGGGTTCGACGCGATGATGCGGGTGACCACGTAATGTACAGCGCAGTTGGAGCTGCCCAAAATGCTCTGATTTGATGTGGGTGCCACATTCTCATTAAGTTAGTCTCATTTAGTAAGCTATTTTCAATCGCCTGTTGACTTTAATACCAACCAGGCCTGTAAAAGTTAATTGATGCTTAGCAACCGGCTGCTGCAGCGATAAAGGAAATATGGCCTTTATGTTTAAGCTGTCCACTTTGCAGTGTCATGTCGAGGCTTCCGAAATTTTGATGATGCGTACTTGGTATTGTAGCTGCTCGTCTGTTTATCCCCATTCAACCATATCCAGTCTGACCACGCTTCCCGTTTTCGCGCACTGCGCCCGAGGTCAGAGCTCTGGTCGACCTGACCTAATCGTGGAGCGTGCCGACTGACCGAGCCATCCTCTCGCCGCAGAAGGGACAGAAGCAGCCCGCCTGCGAGGTCGAACTGCATAAGGCGCTGAAGAAGATACTCGAGGAACTGGAACCGCTGGAGACAAAAATCAACCAGTCGGTGCGACGCATGCGCAAACGACTCTGCCAGGAGTGGCTCAACTACATCGAAAGGTGCGCCAAGCCTTGCGATATCCTTATATTTCCCGGGCATCTTATTTCCTTGATATACTTTCACTGTTTGTCGTTTATGAATGTTCTGCTCGTTTTAAAGGGCTGTTTTGATTTTTACTGCATTTTTTCGTGGCTGTCTCATCCATGCTTCAGGCCTCAGCTCTATAATTTAAAGATGTGCCTCATCTGGCATTATCAGAAAGAAGACGTATCTATGTGCCGAGTTTTCCCGTAATTTTCTGGGAAGGAAAGAACGACTGAACCGTTTAACACGCTGAACCACCCGCTGTGTCCCCGCCAGGCCGGCCGACTACGAGGACCCGAACGAGGCGGCCTGGGTGGAGCCGGATCAGCAGCCGGAGCCGACCCCGTCCAAGACGGAGGAGCGCGACTCGGAGCCGTCCCCCGAGCCGTCCGACGACGAGCAGTCCGTGGATGGTGAGTGGACGGACTGCAGGCCGGGGCACTCGTCAGGGGGAGGGGAGGGCACGCTATCGGACAGAGAGCGCGGGTGGCTGATGACTGGCCGGTACTGATAATGTTTGAATACATAGATTGTTCTTGGTTTATCTAGAGATCCGATAGCCTCGTGGGGCTGAAGCGTTTGTGATCGTTTTTCGCTTTCGTTTCGTCAAAAGCACGGGTTAGGACTAAGGAGACGTAGGAAATCGATTATAAAGACTATTGCCAGCAGTACCGCGTAGCGTATGAGTTCTAGCGTTTGAATATGGATTAAGAGAGAAGGTTCACACGACTTAACAGCGTAACCTGGGTGATTGGGCGCTACTGATTTGTACGCGCTAGTGGCTTGTGTAGCTAAGGGTCTAATTTACCCAATTATCTACCGACTATGAGACAGTCTGTGTCCATTCCTCCACAGCGGACGGACGCCGCAAGCAGCGCAGTCGAAGAGCCAAACGGAAGCGGGTCAACTACTGCGTGGACGGCGCCGGCGGCGCGGCCGGCGAGGACGCCAAAGACTCGGAGACCTGGCAGACCAGCTCGCGCGGCCGCGTGCGAAAGGTGCGCAAAATGGACGACTTTGCGTACGAAGAGGCTGATGATACGAGTCGAGACCGCTCGTCCCCGGCTGACGACGACGACTTCTCGGTGGCAGAGGGCCGGCCGACGGTCTCGCCGTCCAAGGTGGCGCGGTTCGCGCGGCCGGCGGGTGCGTCGGGCGACAACATCTCCTGGGAGTCGTACCGTCAGAAGATGCTGCAGCGGGAGCAGCAGCGCAAACCGCGGGCGGCGCCGCGGCCTGCACGCATCACAGAGCCGTCGCCAGCGTGGAACAGCGAGCTGCCCATACTGAACGAAAACCTCGGCGACCGCGTCAGCCGAATCCGCAGCGAGCTTCAGCGGAAGATGGTGCGACGCCCGGCGGCGAGCGGCGCGGCCGGCGCGCAGCGGTCTACCGGCATGACCAGCGCCTCGCCGAAGACGCCGCTCGGAGGGCGTGTTCTGGTGAATCGGACCAACCCGCTGGGCGGCGCGATCACGAAGGTGGTTCACACGGCCGGCGAGACGAGTCCGTTCGTGCTGCGAATGGGACGCGACGGCCGTGTGTTCATGGACAAGGTGGCGGGCTCGCCGGGGGCGAGCGGGTCCCAGGCGACCGGCAGCACCAGCCAGGCCTCGGCGACCCCGGCGTCGTCGGCTGCGTCCCCGGCCCCCTCCGGCAACGTCACTGCCAGCAAAGTGACCGTGGTGCTGCCCTGCAAGGACCCCAACACGGGCGACACCATGTACATGAAGCTGCCGCCGGATCAGGCCAACTCGATCCTGCAGTCGCTGCAGCTGCCCGGCATCAGCTCGGGCGCCACGGCGGTGAGCACGTTCACGGCGGCCGTGGCGCCGGTCCGGCCGGGCGCCCCGGGCGTGCGCGCGCCGCTGCGGCTCACGCCGGCGGCGGCGGCCGCGGTCGGTGCCGTGCCGGCCGCCGCCGCCGCGCCGTTCCGCGCCATGTTCTCGGCGCCGGGCGCACAGCTGCTGGGCTCTGTCTCCATTCCAGCGACCGCTCCACTGCCGGCTCCAGCTCCGGTGCTGCTGACCGCCGCAGCACCAGTGCGAGCCCCGGTACCAGCTCCGGCGCCAGCCCCGGTTCGTGCTGCAGTTTCAACAGCGACTTCAGTCCCTGTTCCTGCTCCTGTCGGGGCCCCTGTTTCAGCACCTTTCCCCGCTCCAGCCCCCGCCCCGGCTCCAATGCCGACCACGCCCCCGGTGCTGTCGCGTTTCCCCCGCTCGGCTACAGCGGTGACACCCACCTCCTCCCCGGCGCGTGCCCGTCTCCCGGGACCGCCTCTCCTCTCACCACCTGCGACAACCCAGCCGCCTGTCTCGACCGCCGTCCAGCCGCCACACCGCTCTGTACTAATGCAGCACGTGCAGTCGCTGCCGGTGCCGCCGGGCTCACCGCGACCGACCCTCCGCGAGCCGCCGCCGCCGCCACCGCCTCCACCCCCAGCGCCTGTGGCCCAGCCGCCCGTGGCACAGCCTCCCGTGCAGCTGCCCACCGATGTGGCATCACGAGTGAAGGCGGCCCTGCAGCAGGCTCAGGCCAAGGGGATCCCTCTGGAGCAGCAGCAGGCGCGGAGACTGGCGACGAATGTGATGAACGAGGTGGCGTCAGCGCCGGCCGCGACGGCGCCCGTGGTGTCTGCCGTCCCCCAGCAGCAGGTGCTGGTCAGCTCTCCCCGGAAACAGCAGGCCATTCGGCCGCTGCTGCCGACCACGCCGGAGCGGCCGGCAGCGTCCGCGGGCCGCCCGGTGCTTCTGACGAGTTCCCCGCGGCCTCTGATGGCCGCCCGGCCGACCGTGCTGGCGGCGGCGCCCACCCTGCTGGCGGTCAGCTCCCCGCCGGTGCTGCAGGGCGGAGCCCCGCAGACCACCTTCCTGACCGTCTCACAGCCGGCGCTGCTGACCAGCGGCCCCGCCACCCTCATCAGCTCCCAGCCCGCTCTGCTGGCGGCCGGGCCGGCGCTGGCGGTCACCGCTGCCGCTCCCGTGGTCCGGCCGAACGCTGTGGTGGTGAGTCGCCCACCGGCGCCCGCCGGCCGCGCCGTGGCCGGGCCGCCGCCCATGCAGCGCGCGCCGCGCTATGTGTCCTCTAGTGTACAGTTTGTGGCGGCACCGCCGGCCGCCCCCGGGCCGGCAGCGACAGCTGCGGCGAGCTCCGGACAGCGGCTGCCCGTACCGCAGCAGGGCAAAGTGGTGGTCATCAAGTCGGGCAACGAACAGAAACTCGGGGTGCTGATGCCCAACGGACAGATCCTCGAGTTCTCCGAGAAACAGGCCAACAGTGTGCGAATGGAGGCGACCAAGCATGCGGGTTCGGGCACGGCCTCCTAGGCGACCTAGCGACGACGGCGAAGATGCATGAGCTGACACTGTGGCATGCCACCCTTCCTCGGTTGTACTTTTAGCGACTTTCGCCACCATGCATAACTTATTCCATTATTGTCAATACAGTTTCTACATATGTGAGTGCATAACTGTGTTTGGTTTGGAGGGGTGGTGGCGATGCTGTTTTGTAGATTTGTTGCGGATAGGAGCATGGTGTGCGCGGCGGCATATGGCGGTCACTTTTCTGGAGACGGGATTTCACTGCCTCTTTCCTGAACATTAGCGTCACACCGTGTCTATGGACGCATGGACGACGCAGTCAGATCTCGGGGGGGGGGGGGGGGGAGAGTCTGTGGAAGGGACTGTGAAGTGGGACGGGCGTGAGTCGGGCACAAGTACGGAACAAGGTAGTTATTGCAGTCGTTTGACCGTGGATGGGAATCTGCATTCTTGGGCACGATACGCTATCATTGTCATACAGTGGCTAGTGATTGATAGAGACCAGGCTGAGGTAGATGATACTGTTAGCCCCCAACCTGCTGACACTGACTGTGTCAAGGGGCCTGAGGGCCTGCGAGGGTAAGTGAAAGATAGCGTGTAGACGATCTGACGTCATGAGTCGCACGCTAGCCCTAAAGCCGGCTGCAACAGGTCGCAGGACGGCCAAACGATACTGACCGATTCGATGTTTGTATTTGTCGTCAGACGAGCATCGCGATTGTTACCGGGCCGTGGCACAGCCGCTCAGAAAAGACGTATAAAAGTGTATTGGTGCAAAGCATAGTCGGATGGGAGGGGCGCCAGTCGCGTGCACACCCTCACAGCTACAGCCGCGCTCCCAAACACGCACTAAGCGAGTAACGGCGAGTCCGGGCACTCGAGTCTCGACATGATAAGCAACACAAGAGTTCGAGCTCAAGTGTCCATTTTACCCCCAACTACCCAGCTGGGTGCAACAAATCGAGTCTCCCAGATGGGTAAAAACGTATAGAACTCCCTGGAGGGGTAAAATGTACTAATCGAGCTTCCCAGCGGGCTGTAGCGTGCGGAGCCCCCAGTCGCGTCGTTCTCCATGCGCGAATCGGTTTGTAGGTCCGTCTGATGGCATATTCTCACCGGCTAGGCGACGTCACGCGGCGCACACTGGCACACAGACACACAATCTCTGACCGAAGCGTGGCACCGCGCACGGGGCGGCGGCCGTGAAAAATTGTAACCCCGGGACTCCTAACCGAACCACTACTCGGCAGCAATCTCCGCTCGCGCCAGTCGAGTATATACAAAACAACTACAGTCAGGTGAAAAGCAGGCACGCACGATACACGCTCGAGTCGGGACGGGATCGCGCCGACCGTCCACATAGCTATTTGCACCAGATCAATGATTGTCTACGATTTGCACGGGTCTGCGGGCCACTAAGCGCTGCCCGCCTGGCGTCTGTCCGTCCGCCAGCTCGCTGTGATATGGCCCAGGGGCTTGGCCCACCAGTCTGAAATGGCACAGGTGATCTCACGACCCCTCCTCCACGGGGGCTCCTCGCGACCCAGCCAGGCACCGGCCCAGTCAGCCATCATCCACCAAACACCGAACAAGCGCTATTGCCTCGATTATCGCTGCGCCGGCGTGCCAGCAAACCAACTATGAAAGGCACAAAACATGGGGAGTCGCCGGACGTGTCGCCCTCTGTCGGCGGCCGGATGAGATCGTAGTGCGCGCGGCGGCCGCCGGCGCTCACGACACGCTGGAGATAGCGTTGCGCGGCGATCCCATTTGTGTGAGCACCTTGTCCAGCCACTGAAGCGGGCCGTGCAGGTGGATCTCGATCCAGCAGGGTGTCGAGGTGACGTCCTGACGGTGGTACTCGGCGCCCCAGCCCTTCACGAACGACATCCTGTCGGAAAGGGGAGATTCGGGCCACTTAGTGGGCGGGAAGACCACCAGGAGAAAGTAAGCGAGAAGCGATCACACCGGGAGGAGACGGCAGTGTTCCATTTTTCAGAATTTTGGGTGGGAAATCACACCTAATGGGGAAAATATTTCCACCCCAAAATAAGAAAAAATCGCATTACTTCATCTTCGAAAAAAATCGTGCATTCGAACAGCCAGGTGGCATGACATGGCAGTCCACATCCTTTTCTTTTAGATCCTGTAAAGATCCTGACATGAAACCCCGCTTCATCAATTAGCGTTAAAAATGGTGTTGCATCCTTTTAAAACAAAATGTTATATGGTTATTTACTTCCTTTTCTCATCCCGTTTTTTTTTCTTCCTCATCGTCACACCCAACCAAAATCCAATTTTAGAACACTGGGAGACGGTTGGGGTGAGTGAAGAGTGATCGCCACCCGCCAATAGAAGTGATGAACGAGATCGTCCCATGTGAACGATGCAAATGGCTGTTAAATTGCCGCTTTAATAAAATTGAAAACCCGGAGTCCGGAGAAGGGGAATTAAACTGAGGCCATTTGAGAAATGACGCCGCTTAGAGGGCTGGAATGAGCGCTTTTTTCCACAACCGATAGCATATAGCTCAGATCGTGTTCTTCGCAGTCTCACCTGATGGTGCACATTTTGGTGAGCTCGAAGACGGCCTCGTAGCCATGGTTGACGCTCTGTGAGAGCAGCTGCGCGAACTCCTGGTTGTTGAAGATCTTGAGACTGCAGCCGGCCGGTATTTTACAGACTGTGGAGGGGTGGAAGCCGTGGTGGTGGTTGCAGTTGCGCGACTGCACGAATATGGCCGAGTCCGAGAGACACTCGGCGTACACCTCGCCGCCCACGTAGTACAGGTGCACACCTGGAGAGAAGGACGGTGTCAACAGTCAAACCACCGACTGATGTCTACTGTCTAGTGCTCATAAAACAACTGGCATGTGGACAGAGGATTTCATTTCCTCAACAAGAGCAATAAATTGGAGCTACGCATCTTTGCAGGTCATTTATCGGTCAACTCTCCGAGGCGATTATGGGTGCTCCCGATAGTGTTGTGGCGTTTCTCACCTTCGCTTATATGTTTGCGGGTGCTCCCGGTGGTTAAGTTTCACCTTTCCGATGTGTCTGCGGGTGCTCTCCATTCTCATCCTGACCTTTCCCGATGTGTTTGAGGGTGCTCTCAATTCTCACCTTTTCATATGTGCGCTGCCGTTACTCTCACATTTTCCGATGTGTTTGCAGGTGCTCTGAACTCTCACCTTTTCTGATGTGTTTGCGGGTGGAGTTATAACTCACCTTTTCCGATGTGTTTGCGGGTGCTCTCGATGGTCGAGTTGCGGTTGACGTTGGACAGCTGGCCCAGGCAGAAGCGGTCCGACTTGTGGTTGGGATCGGTGAATCCGTCTACTACCACCGAGTGAACCGACGCGTGGAACACCTCTCCCACGCGGTTGTTGAGCTCGTAGTAGGCGATGCTGGCCCAGCACTGCGGCTCCTGCAAACGGATCGACGGACCACAGTCAGCGTCACTGGCAGACCGCAAATATTGACCGGTCAATACGGATCACGTGTGTCGTGTGTAACTGACCAGCTTTTGACGGCTGTCGACTGATTACGGAGCGAGCGAAGCGAGCGTAGTCTTTCCTTAGATTAACGGAAATTTCTGAGTATGAGCGGCCGGCCGGCCGGCCGGCCGGCCGGCCGGCCGTGGTCACGCTTTTGCGAGGCTTATATCTCAGCAACCACTTGACCGATTTACACGCGGTAATTTTTGTAGGGTAGCTTCATTCCTTCTACCAAGTATTGGACTATTCCCGATGCATGTGGGTGACCCCTTATGCACGTGCCACGTGCAAAACGAAGAGGTGTCACTTTTGTAATTGTTGCAATATCTCGGTAACTACTGGGCCGATTGCGCTGAAAGTTGGCATGTAGGTAGGCACTCACTAGGCAATGCATATCCATGTGCCAGAGTTGGGGTGCTGCTGCACGTGCGCACGTGCAGGGGTCGATTCCAGATCTCGAGAACGGCTGGACCGATGGCGCTCAAATTTGGTACATGGCTAAGGACCGGTTAGTAGGGTGCCGTGCAAAAGTCAGTTGGGACCCATTTTGCACGTGCGCACGTGCAGGGTGCCGCTTCCAGATCTCGAGAACGGCTGGACCGATTGTGCTCAAATTTGGCACATCGCTAGAGACCGGTTAGTAGGGTGCCGTGCACAAGTCAGCTGGAGGTACCCCCTCGAAATTTCGCACGTGCAAGGCTCACCCTCTCGCTCGCTCCGTTAATCGCCCCAAAAGGCGTTATACTGGTAGTGTATCAGACAACATAGCTGATAACATAGCTACGAGTTTATTTCATTGCCTTATCGGCAGAATAAATCATACTGATAAACATTCCCATAAAGTAAGTTTAAAATTGTCATGATAAACACATTTCATATTTTGCACGTTTCAGGCTGATCAGCAAAAAGCAATGTTTGCAGTTCAAATTGCGTAGTGACGACTCCAGAACGCAAAGGAACGGAGACACACTACGCCCTGCAATGGCTACTACCACGCTCGCGGAAGGGACAGCTGATTAGGTCCGCGGGCCGGGGTTCATCTTCTGAGAACACGGTGCACATGGCTCGGCCAGACAAACTGCAGCTGTGAGCGTCTGGCCGTTACTGCCCACCGCCGGAAGCGTGCACCCGATACCCGGCGGACGGGGAGCCGGTCCGAGCTACTACACCAGCGGAAAGGCAGAGCTCCAGACCGCTACACCGGCTGAGCGGTGGCCGATTCAGTTAGCTTTTAAGCGGACAAACAAAATGTGATACAGCAAAATAAGCCATCTTGACCAAGACCGAATACAGATGTTGTCAAATGTCAGCAGATAAGGGTTGTCGGCCTAGCCCTATTTTGAGACATTTAGGGTGGGGTAAGCGAAAGTTCACTATCCCTTTTCATCCCCTCCCCGTCACTCTCGACATCGCACCTGGAATGTGATGGGCTGCACGTCGCCGGTGACCAGGGCGCCGCCGCCGGTGCTCGTGTCCATACGGTTGGAGGTGTCGGCGCCGGCGGTGGAGGGCGCGGGCGGCGGCGGCTCCTCCTGGCTGTAGGCGGGCGGTGGAGTGCCGGCCTGCAGGCTGAACGGAGACTGCGGGTCGGACGACACCGAGCCGGGCGAGCCCACCGACCTGGGGCACGGGGACGGAGAGCGTCAGTAAATAGAACTGGGGACGGCAGGAGTGTCATAAAATTACAGACCTCGGGAGGAAGAGGAGTCAGTACACATATTATTTTAGTCTAAGAGCGAGTCGATTACTGGGATAATTTTGTTCACAAAACCAACACAGTAATATTCCCAGCAAAGTAGATACCTTGGGTTATCTATAAGGCACAACCCAGCAACCTAGAAATATAAAGCATTATAAAAATCACTGGAGATTGTCTGGTGCAAGAAAGTGAGAGATGATGACTGGCCGTCTGAATCTAAGACCCCCATCGATCTTAGGCATGGTCTAAGCAGCACAGAATACGGAAGAACCGTTCTGGGGGATCCCAGAGTTGAGCTGATCTGGTGAAACACCGACCGAATACATGATACAAAGTATCAAGCGACGGCCAGATATATGGGCAACTGCTAGTTCTCTGGCCCAGAAACCAGACGCTTTGGAGTAGACTTGCAAAGCGACTGCATATCAAAACGGACATACATCCGTCGACCGTCTGCTCCCACAGACCAGCTGGTCATACAATGTCAACAGACCGAATCCTCTCAATGAATGCCTCAACAAGCCACGCTAGCCTTTATCGCCCCCTCGGACCACATGCAGACCACCACCCTATGTCGTACTCACGGTATTGATGAGAGCGGCGACGGCGCGCCGTGCGGCGGCGAGCCCGGCTGACTGAATCCCTGGCCGCTGAAGCTCACGTTGTGCGGCATTATGGGCTCAGCCTGCTGCTGGAGCGGCCCGCCCGGAGACGGGAATGAGAGCATCGAGTGTCCCGGCGCGAACTCGCTGTGACGGGGCACCAGCACCGGTGGCAGCACTGTACGAGAGGCGGGCAGGTCAGAGAATGAGAGATAGGCACCATCAGACTGCACTGCGGAAACGATTAAAGGGTCCACATGAATTACTCCTTGATGACATTGATTGATTTGTGATTTTAGGCGAGCTAGGAACGCGAGGGCAAATGGGGAAATGATCTGGCAGCGGACGCCAAATACCAGACAGCGCTACGTCAGGTCTGGAGCGTGGAAATCAATATGCAGAGAGACAGAGGCAGATTGAAATTTTGCGAGGCCGCACGGCCATACACGGAGACAGACGCACAATAATCAGATAGTAGATACAGCGGCGTGGAATAGTATGGTCATATGAGATGGGATTTTGATGACGATTAAAATTGATCGAATGATTGAAAATAAACTGATAAAATTGACAATGAAAACGAGCCAATAAGTGAGGTGTTCAGGTTTGGACTTGAAAAAACTGGCCCACGTCCTCCATACCAGATTACCAGAAATGGAAATTCATCTCCCGATGAATAAATGAATTGATTCACGAAGGCGTGAGGTAGAAAATACGGTTTTGGTGCTATTCTACGTCAAAAACAGATAAATCTTTGTGACAAACATGGCGGTGGGGCTCAGAACGGACATCCATATCAATGAAAAACGATGAACAATTGAAAAAAGCAATGACAATGGCTTTCAATAATTCGGGCTATTTTCTGGTTTTTAGGTTTCATACGAGAACTTCACGACGAAGTCAACGTGTCCATAATCAGGTTCGATCGTCGTGCTGCAAAAAAAAAAAATCGGACCTGCAAAACAGTTTTGGCACAAAGCAGATTCTGTTAAAAAAAAACTAACACAGAACGCTCAACTGATGTTCAACTAGCATACTGGACCCCAGAAGGTAAAAAAGGAAGTTTCAAAGCTGAGCAAAACGTGACAGAGTACCTAAGTGAAGCAAAGGAACGCAGTTGGGCACGAATGAATTCGGAGTATTTTACGTCAAGGCGAGTAGCTACCGATGACACACGCGTCAGCACGCGACCGGAAGGGTCGCCGTGCAGCCGATCGACCCAGCGCGCCCTCCACGGCGCAGGTAATCCATAGAAACGGCACGGAACGACCGGGGCGGGACGGGGGGCGGGTCGAAAACACGGACATGCGTCACCGGAACTGGCCGGCCCGAAAATAGCGCTCCGACCGCTGCCGGCGCGTGCCGCTGGTCAAACGGACCGTACCACTCACCAGGGCTCTCCACGCGCCGGTAGTGGTACGGGTTGATGCAGACGTCCTTCTGTTTGGCGTTAAATGGGTAGGCGCAGTCCTCGACGGGCTTTAGCTCGTGGTGCGACTGGAGATCGGGCCAGCGCCACACACGGCAGTAGATGACGTGCGGCAGGCCCTTGCGGTGCGAGACCTGTCGACAACGGAGTGGAAGACGTGAACACAAAGTCGCAAAATATGCAATAAAATATCCCCATCCCCTACTAAAATAAAATGTCCTCAGAGTCATTTAAATTTAATGTATGTGTTGATAAGACCACAAAAAATAAGCAAATCACAGGTCGTATACCTACAACAACACTAAATAATACCCAGCTGAAGATTAAAATTGCCACCACATTCAAACCACAGCTCAATTATGTTCGGCCGAATTTCTCACCTGTAGTCGCCCATCCAGGCTCCGCGGGATGGTGACACACTTGGTGCGCTGCCCTGGGGAGCTGAGCGCATTCTCCAGGTCCTCAAGAGCTCCTTTCGTCTTCTTCAGCTTCTTCACGAGTGCATCCACTGCCTTCTCTGCCCATTTTTCTTCCTCGTCGCCTTGTTTCCAGCCTAGCAGCTTTTTGACTGCTGGACTGGTGAATGTGAATAAGCTATTCAAGCTAGACATACTGTCCCCTGAACAGATTCACTGAAAAAGAAGAACATATCAAAACAAAGCACAATAAAAACGTACCTGAAAGTCACTGAAGACAACAAAACTCTTGAACAGTGTCTTTGTATGGAACTTGTAAGGAGCATGCAGATGTGTAAAGTGGTTGTTTTCTGGTAAGGTAACAGCAGCCCTTATGGGGTCATCAGATGGTCCTCTAAAGCAAACAGATGGCTCAAGTCTGAGACCACCAACTGAGGGTCTTCAGAGCTCGCCCTGTGGCTGAGGGTTCAACCGAGGGTTCTCAAGCTTGCATAGGGCCCTCAGAGGTTCTCTGCTAGCCCCACGGTAATCTGTTGACCTAAAAGGGTCTCTTAGATAGTCTCAGGGCCCTTTGTTGGCCTCAGGGACCTCTGTTGGCTTCAGGGACCTCTGTTGGCTTCAGGGACCTCTGTTGGCCTCAGGGATAAGACCAACCTAATGTCGGTCTCTGAGGGCTCGCTGCTGATCTATGTTGGTCTCTGAGGGCTCTCTGCTGGCATCAGAGGTCCCTCAGTTGACCTCAGAGAATCCACATTTGTCCTCAGTGTTCTCAGTTGGTCTCAGGGTCCAGTTTGGCCTCATGGGGCATTTTCTTAGGCTAATAGGGTTGCCTGATTTCATAAAAGTCTCTCTGTCAGTTACAGAGGAGCTTCTGCTTGCTTCAGACTTCCCAGGGCCCTTTGTGGGCATCAGGTTTCAATAGGGCTATCACTTATCAGTTATCAGTCCCCTCTGTAGACCTCAGAGATTGTAGGACCCTAATTTGGCCTCATAGGGTTCCTCATGCTCTAACAATTGCTCTCTGTTGGTCTCAAAGGGCCCTTGCCCATCTATTGATCTCACTGCACTCTATTGGCCTCAGGTGTCAGAAGGCCTTTGACTGGTCTCAGAGGATCCTCTGTTCCCCTAAAAGGACCCTCTATTGTCCTCACAGGGTCCTCTGAAGTCTAACAGTGGCTCCTTTATGCCTAAAGGTGTCTATTGTTGGTCTAATAGGGCTCTCTTATACCCTGGGATACCTAAGGTCCTCTTGCATACACCATTGGCTATCAGCATATTAATGCTGACCTGACAACTCACGCCTACAAATACCTTCCTTTCTGTCCCCTTCCCACAGAATGTCAAAGTGCAACAATCAAACAATGCATTCAGAACATTGCTGCTGACCCAAAAAACCAACTAAAGACTAAGATGTCATGACATGAGCTAAGGTCATGTCGCAGAACAGCTTGTCCACTACTCCCTAATACAGCAAGGCCATTTCATTTGGTGTTGCATCTTTTCCCATAAAAAATTGCATGCAATATGCCAGGAAACACACATTTCAGAATTCAGGCTTCAAAAGACCTCAGATGCATGTTACAGGGGTTAGTGATGAAAAAGAAACTAATTGACATGTCAACAAATTACTGCAGTATGATGCTGGGAACTCAGAGCACTGAGCAATCATTCAAACAGCCTGTGGAGCTATTTGTAAGCATTTTGAGCGACATCATATGAACTCAGCTAGAGTAATCAGCTTTAACACTTTGTTCAGGTCTAAACATTTATAAGCCAGTGCAAAACACAGCATTTAAATTATGGTTATCATCAATTATCATGGCATACAAAACAGTAATGTGAATATTTCTTCCAAAACTAGTGATAGCCCAAGGGAAGGGAGGTGCAGATAGCATGCAGGCCACAAGGGCACATATATCTTCAAGAGTTCTGAAAAGAACAAGAGTCATATGTCTTTACCTATCTTTGAGCTTGTAGTATGGTCCTCAAGAATAAAGTTTGAGAAAGTACAAATAATATACAACTTCACACACAAGGTAAAACACTTAGGTACTAAGTTAAAACAGAACCTTTGAAAAAACCAGCAAAAATAAGTTTTTTTTTGCCACTCATTACTGTGCCTTTGTTGCAACACTTCCTGTTCCAGGTCATTCACTCTAGATTGCTTCAAGACATTAGACAACTGAAGATTTGAGCAAGTTAACATAAATGTATTTATCAGAATGTCCCAAATGAAATTGCAAAATATTAAGTTTTTTTTTTTTAAGTATTAATGAGTTAAATTTTAAGTAGGTGTAGGCCTCAAAATTCAAATATTAATGTTTATAGAGGTAGGTAGGTATGTCCCAAATTGGGAAATAAGCATTTCTATTTCGGTGTAATAATGTTATCTAAATATCAGGACAAAGTCAAAGTGCATTTAATATATGCATTATAATGGTGCTAGGTAGTAGGTATATCAAAGATGTTCTTAATTAAATTTAAAAAATATAAGAAAGCTGCATTTCACAAGCTGAAATTGTTGAATGTTGGACTCTCGAGCTGGAGCAGCCTCAGCCTTGCAGTTGACACATTCTCACCTGGTTTGAATGAAAAAATATCCCACTTACTGACACATCGAAAATAGACTATCTAGACCTCAAACACGCCACAACTATCCACCGAGCCACCGCTCTCCACCGACGACCGACGATGAGTAACTACTCACTTCAGTCATCGGCCTTCCCGCTAACGCCATTCCCCGGCCATTGGGTTATGACTCATGCACAGGCGCCCATCGACGGCGCCCGCGCAGGCCGGCGCATAACAGCATTGAGCATGCGAAGTGCGTATTTGTAATTCGGAAGCACACCCACTCAGAGGTACGTACCACGCTTTATCCAGATCCGCCAGCAAGCCGGATTTCGGGAATCCTCAATCACCTCATCGCAAATTCTCCAGAACCGTGCCGCCGGGCGCCGCTTGCAAGGATCCTGCTCCTGGCAGATTTCAAGGTTGTTTACATATCCTTCAGACATAATAAATCACGCTCGTTGTGTATCCATGAAATAAGATAAACACATTTTATAGAATTATATAATGAAATAAGATTTAGATACCACTAACTAAGAATAATGACGGATTATTGGGACACTACTTTCCTTTGGTGTTCTTGCGCCTCACTTGGACGGCGACCGGACGCCCATTCGCCGCCTCTCTGGCGCCAGTAGGCGTCACTACTGTCGCCTGAATGTCGCTGCGGTCGCCGTGGCCGTAGTGCCGGGTCCGCCGCCCGGCGAGGTCCGCAACCGGTTCGCGTTCCTGAGCGCCGTGGGGTCGTCGCAGCCTCATCAAGGGCGGACAGTCGGGATACATGGGGGTCGGGTGCGCTATCACTCCCTCAATCTCATTCAAGGCTTCAAGACAGTCGGATAACTGGCGGCTCGCGCTGCCGACTCTCTTATCGAAGGCCCCAGGCTCGGCCCCGGGCGGGCTGTGGGAAGCTTGATAAAAATGTGTTCGGTTTATCGTTGTTCGGATTATTTATTTCTTTCCAAGAGGTTAGAACTCGGTCGGAGGGATTCGGGTCTGTAGAAATCATGACCAATGGGGCTTGCCATCGTCAGTCCGGGTCCAGACCCGGGTCCGACCCGGGTCCAAGGCTCAAGGCTGACGGTTAGGCTAGCCGCTAGGCCCGACAGAACACTGTAATGAGGGCGTTGTGTCAAAAATCAGGTTAACCCGCGCCCGGCTGGGGTCCTGGATTTCCACGCCCTGCTGGGGGGGGGGGGTGTTTGAACACCCCCCCCCCCCTTGTAACTCGGCTCCTGAGCCACGTAGCGATACGCGGAAGGCGGCGTTCGAAAGAGCGTCAAAAATAATGACGAAATCACTTCAGTCAATTTTTTGGTCAGGTCAAAGGTCAGGTCACAAGAGGTCATTGAAGGCAAAATTTCGCCGATTTCCAGGTCGAATGTCGACAATTTCCAAGAAGCCAACGCATACCCAGCCAGCAATTCGCTTGGGCTGAACTGTGGCAAACGTCGGGCAGCTTGGGCTTAGCTAGGGTTTGCCCACTTTGATCAAAACCAATGTATTTTTTACTAGGGCTGAGCTGGGGCATGCCGCAGCTATGCCCACGTGCGGATAGCAGTAGCTCAGCCCGACATCTGCCTGCGCATCCAAAACAGGCTTAACTTGGGCGGAGCGCGGGCTGATCAAGCTGGCTGTGTCCTTCGGCTAACTGGAGTAAAGCCGTAGCTTAGCCATACTTGTTCGGCTGTACGCGCATGCGCACTTCTGCGCCAATCATGTGCAGCGTTTGTGACAGTCTGCGCGCTGTGCGACGAAACGACACACCGGTGTTGGGGCATTTGGTGGTTGATGTTTGAGTTCTCTATATACCGTGGATGTTTGGGCGCGTGTGACAGCGCGAAGAAGGGATAGTGCTCACTGCTCTTATCAAGTGGACTGGCATGGAGTTTACGGTAGGTAAGTGTATTGAATGGTGCGCTTGATCGTATGTAAACGTCATGATTTTGACTGAATTTCACACCATCAAACATGAAGCTGAATAGCTGTTCAGCCTGGCGACTTATGTATACCCTCGCTCAGAAAAGCCGCATTCCGTGCCTTTATATCTTTGTGAAATACCAGCACTTCTGAACAAGGAAAATGAAATACAAAACACAAATATTTATCTACTTATAACCGAGCACGCTCATTCTCTCTCTGTCCGCGTTGAAAATCGAATGAAAATTTTATACGGATCAATGAGAAGTGCTTTTACAGTCCTAAATGCAACAATAAGTTATTTTTCAAGGAAACATGCAATGTAAATTAAACCAATTAATCTCTTTTACAGGTACGTACCATTAGAGCAAATGGTTCCAAAAATTGAAGTTATACAAACCAGGACCGGGTGGACGCCGCAGTCGCCCTCGCCCAGTGGTTTAGCGGAAACTGCCTGCTTATAATTAAGTAGGTACACCTATGTACATATGGAAACTGCGCCGAAAGCTGGCCGACCATCTACTGCAGATGTGTGTGTGTGGAGGAGCTAGACGCCTCCAAAGCTCCCATTCACCAGAGTGAAGTTCCTTATAAACGATTGTTTGCTAATTGCTTTATGTCTTATGAGCGATTACTTGCTGTCCTTACTTTATGCTTTCGGTTGGGTGTTCAACTAAGTATTATGAACGGGGAGGGAGGCTAGCGGGCCTTATGATTGTTTTGTAGTTTTGATGGCGCTTTTTCACGACTCATGCCATATTATTGCTGCAATTTGCAGTCTACTGTTTCATGTATTTTTGTTTCATTTGACGTGTCTGTAGTCGTTTGAAATATACATTCAATCAAAGTCAACCACTACTTTCCTTTCGCAATGCTCGATGACCGGTTGACAGAGCATATGAGTGACCGTAACAATTTTGAATATGCATTGTAACCGCACAACCTGCTGAAAGTGCATTGGCTGCTCCTTGCTGCTTGATCCAGTGTGGAGTAAAAGCAAGATGAAGTCAAGTCGAGACTTGAGAAAACAGGAGCCGTCACTCGAGCCGAACCCGAGCAAAGCCACAGCAGTTTGCAATGTATAAACCCCATTCACTTCTATGGCTTAAGTCGGGATAGACAGGGCACACAGAGTGGGCTTGCCGTAGTTTAGCCCGCTCGGGCCCAGAGTAACCTCCATTATATAAATGGATTCACTGCTGGGGCTTAAATCGGGCTAACGCCAATCGTCGCTCAACTAGGGCTAAACTACGGCTGTCCGGAGCTCGCAGAGCGGGCATACCTCCGGCAGAGCATGGGCTTTAGTCGGCGTTTTTGTGTCATACGCCGACTTTAGCCCAAGCCCTAGCCGACTTTAGCCCGACTTAAAATCTCGGGCAATCCGCACTTGAGCCTGCTTGGGCCCGGAGCAAAATTGCTAGCTGGGATAACTCGGGAACCAATAGAGCTACAGCGCCGCGGAAAAGCGCATTCGATAGCCCTATTAACGCCCTTTCTGAGTAATTCTCTAAGATTTGACCTTACGTCAACGGTTTTGCCTGCAGGGGGTAAAAACTGCAAAAATAGCTGATTTTTTCGGAAACAGTTTTTCTGCAATAACTTTTGACCCAAGCCTTGTACGAGCTTACTTTTACCGGCATCGTGTTCCTCTCGTCAAGACGCATCGAATGAACTATAACTTGACCTTGAAAGGTCAACTTGAAAATTTGACCTCAGGTCAAGGTCATGACCTGACCGGAAAGGGTCATGTTGCATATCAGTCGATCCGTATCGTCGAGCTGAGCACATCTAAGGCGTTTTCATCGCTCTAGCATGCCTCTATCAAAAGTTATTTGCGAAAAACTGTTAGATACCATTCGTGACCTAAGATGACCTCAGGGCATAAACAGGGGTCATGGACACCATTTTCATGTTCAGTGTGTCTAAACCACTTGTAATTCAGTGTTTGGTAGTGTTTATAATGTCTTTCGTCCAATAGAGGCGCATTTCAATTTTCTCCCATTGACTTATAATGGGGAGGTCGCAAAATTGACCTGACCTTAGGTCATTGATATCAAAATTCTGAGATATACATTTTGTACATGCTATTGCTCTTAGCAATCGCTGAAAGTTTCAAAGCGATCGGTCACTCGGTGTAGCTATGACAGACATTGAAACTTTTTAGGAGGTGAAGTCACTTCAAGTGACCTGGTGACCTGACCTTGAATGACCTTGGTCTAAAATTTTCACAACATGTGTAGAATTGATGTATGATAAGGTGTACCAAAAAACGGCGGCGCTCCGCGCCGCCGTTTTTGAGATATTGGCGAAAAACCACAAGGGGGGTGTTCAAACACCCCCCCCCAGCAGGGCGCGGGTTAAGGGGTCAGGTCACCAATAACCCCATCTATAACCTCCTGAGACTCAGATTTTGCATTGAATCGTACGGACGCCGTGTTGCCTTTCGTTGGTTATGACCTCGCCAGCATAGGCGGTGGAACGTGGGGGGGGGGGGGGGGGGGGCGGGGGGCACCGGGGCATCGTGCCCCCCTTGATTTTGGTATTTTAACATAAGGCCTATGGGCGTTGCATGGAAATGATGGGATCAAAAGTCGGCAGTGCTCCCCCCCCCCCCCTCGCCCGTATAGGGGGGTCGAACGGACCCCTTCTTCGGTTTTTCGCAAATAACTCGCGTAAAAAGCGGCCGATCGCGACGAAACTTTCAGTACCCTCGAGTTGATCAATTTTGTACCTACTCTGAAAATTTCATAACCCTGACCCAAATGACCTTTGACCTGTGACCTACTTTTCGAAACCATGTTTGGCCGGAATCGCGATTCGCCATTCGGCATATGTCGGCTCGCATTAGCTGCGCGTTTGCGGACTTTTTGTGGTTTCAAGCGTTTCAACATGTGATATGATGTTGCCCCCATACATAAGGATGGATGTCAATGTCACATGAAGGCTGAAGGTCAGGTCAGGTCATTGACCTATGATGACCTCGGTTCACTTTTTCGAGTTTTACATGTTTCTAGGCCAGTTTTTGGAGCTGAATTCGAATTTAGCAGCCATATGAACATTAACTAAGTTGTTTTGGTGCCTTCCTAACATGTTACGAAGCTGTCAGAGGCGGCTGACACCTACTACGAATACCCGGCAGGATCCCTACTGGATGACCTGACCTGACCTGACCCGACCCGACCTGGCCTAAATGCATGAAGACATCATCTGTGATCAAAACAACATGATATTCGTCATCAGCACCCGAAGTTTAATGCAATGTAATGATATCGATGACATCGAACACCGCATTCCGTCTATCGCTCTACGAACCAGAAGCTAAAGCTTGAAAACATCCTCCCGCTCCTCCCCGGACCCAATGTGCCACGAGACGAATCTTGCAACTACGAAACGCACCAGTTTCATTTAGTACCATTGTATTGTATTCCTCTCGATGGACATTGGACAGGAGTCCAGTCACCGGACTGACGACATCACATTTAATCGCGAGATCCCTGAAAGAAGTTTGTGCTAATACCTATAACAGAAGCGAAGATTATATTTTCACGCAGTGAGCTCCCTTCGCGTCGATGTTCTTGCAAATGGAGTTCGGCGGACAGTACTTCTTAGAGTCGCACCCAAGCTTGGCTGAAAAGACAAATGAGGAAGTTAGGAGTTGATAATCTTATTCAACGTAAAAAATACTATTTGCAAAAATGTCTATTTACTTATATGCAAATGGAGGCACATCTTCAAAACGTTTAAAATCTATCATAGGTAACTCTCGGTTTCAAAGATGGTTAGGAAAAAACTACCACAAAAATTGAAGCACCATTTTCAGCATTGGAAAATAAACCGTTTATCAACCTTCCCAGCCACCAGTCACCACCCCATGAGAAGGAAGCCGCGAGGCTCGAACTCACGTTTTCCGCGCCTGCAGAGAGCGCCGTCGGGCGTATCGATGCACGTGAGTCCCTTGTCACACTCGCGCACCTCGCACGTGTTGGGCAGACACGTGGGCGAGCCGTCACGAATGTAGCAGTTGGTACCGCGCTGGCAGAAGAAGCCCTCGCAGGAAGGCACGTCTGTGGGGTGGTCGGAACAGTGTGATTGTAATTTGTATACTAGATGAACGCTGTGTTCCAGACAGTATGATTTATCGATGTACCATTTTATACCTACGATATTTATATTTACTTTTTATAGGTCACATTTGATGGTTATATAGTCTTGCATTTGATTAACATAATAGGAACTAAAACATGTGCTCGGCTCGTCTTGCCGTCAGTCCTCTATCGCAATCAGCTCTGCGAGTATACATTATTTATACCAGTTGGCCTTCTTCCATGCTTACCTGGCACGCAGTCGGGACCATCGGGAAGCTCCGAGCAGATTTCACCAGCGGCGCACTTGATATCGGCACACGTTTCTGCAGGAGGAAAAACAACAATAAAACTGTGAGCCGGCCAGCTTCAACGGCCGAGAGTTTAAACTCACACAGTCCCGTTCCGAAACTGTTCCATTAACTACCATGTATTTCGTTGCGATCAGAACCGTTTGTAATTACAGCGTGTTATAATATAGTTATATCTATATGGTTAACCTATGAGCTGCATTATTTATGCTGCATCAAAGTTGTCGCAATAAATATTTTGGTAAAATGAATCGGAAAATAAAATTGTAAATATGGTAGGCATGTCCGTAATTATGCAAGCTAACTTAGATGACAAACCACTGAGAAAAACTCTCGAAAACAAAAGGAAGGGCAGCTGGTACAGTTTTAGTAGCGACGTTATAACTAGGCTGTACCTACTTTGCACGCAGACGGGACCCGCTGGCGTGTCTTCGCATCTCTTGTCAGGAGAGCACTTCCACGTTTTGCAGCTGGGAGCCTCTGTGAACGGGGGTCAGGTCAGGGTCAGGTCACTGTCCGCCCAGGAGAGTGAGATGGTCAGATTTTATGGTTCACTGTGCGTCGCTATAACCTGCATTCGTGTATGGATTACTCTGGAGAGAAAAACTGCAATCTCATCACAATGAATTTTCGCAAGGTCAATGATCGATATTTGAACACAAAACACGAAGTATTTGAACCCGGCCGGTATCGCGGGCCGTCAATCCATAAAGGGAATCCTATTTTCTAGTTATTGAAGGTAAGTCGGATCTGAAATAGAGCGGATCAAGCATCTACATAATCGGCTCTCCTTGATGTAAAGAGCTTAAAATTTCAACATAAAATATTTCTCGCTTACTTTATAACTATGTTCCTTGGATATCAAGTATATGGGATATTTTGTCATTCTCCAAATCGCACCAAACGAATTGTAATTTGTAGACATCATGGGAACCGGATATTGGTTTTATACGTTTTTTTGTGAACACGATCAAACATCTTGAACCGAAATGAACCGAAATGAACTGCTCGATTTGGGGTGTCGATGGTAGCACTCACCTGGTACACAAACTTGACAGTATTGAACCTCGCAAACATGATTGGGCTGGCACTGCTTCTTGCACGCTGCAAAACAAACGGACAAATCAATTGCGGACTCAGTTTTGTTACCAGACAGTTCTTGGTCCCATGCATTTCCTTACAAATTTTTAGATAATATTTAACATCATTATTTACGCTTAAATGTTCGTACTCGTCGACTTAGCAAATTTTTGGATCGTAGTTTTTTTTCTTTTTAGAGAGAATGGCAACCGCCTTCTATTTTCACCTTATTTTTAAGACCGGCATGAAACAACTTAAAGCAAATACTTTCCCAAACCTTTCAAAACCGAAATAATTCTGGAAGCCAAGATATGCCTACCCAAACGTGGAACATTTTCACGTAGTCCCAGACTTACCGCCTCCGGGTCCCTGCTGAAGGGCCGCCAGCAGTTTCTTGCTGGGCGCTCCCGCGGCGGCCGAAGCCACGCACAAGGCCAGCACCAGCAGAACAGCAGTGGACAGCTTCATCTCAGCGACGGAGGGCGGCGGGCGGCTCAACCTGTGAAGCGGCGGCGGTGCTGCTCGAACTCCGGCGGCCGCACGCCGCTTTTATACCACCGCCCGCCGCCCCCCGGGTCATCTCGGCCGGTCACGTGACCGGCGAGTTCGGACGGCGGGGGGGGGGGGGAGGGGAGGGGAGCTGTTCCGATCCGACGCACAGGTCAGTAGCCGCCACACGCACAGCCGCGGGTGGCCCTGTCAACATGCTGCACAGGCGTGCTGTCGGACTGCAATGGGAAGCGGGAAGTAATTAGACTTGGTTTTGTAACAGGTACCTGAATCTAACGGTATCAAAAATAGGCTAGCTGTGAATTTTTGTAGGTACGTATCAAAGTTCATATTCTCTAGTGGTGCCAGTTCCAGAAAATGTGCGTCCAATGTCCCGATGCAATGTCCAATACTTTTATCAACTGTCCGCCCAAAGATGTCCAAGCCAGCGATTTGTCCAAAGATGTCCGAAAACTATGCAATAATTAACTCTCAACACTGCTATTTAATTTGCATGTAACGTACTGTTACTAGCTCCGAATGTTAATCGAATCGAGACCCGAGCTTTCTATTCGTCAAAATCAATGTTATAGATAGACGATTACTTTATGAAAATGCTGAGGTCATGTAGCAAGTGATTGTCTAATGTTGTCCAAAGCTGGGCTGCATTTGTTCAACCAAACTCCGAATAGGACATTGGACAAAATCGGAATTCCTAAGGTTCAAGTTCCGACCGGCAGCACTAAATTATTGTTTGAACTATCTATGCATCGCAATTCCTGAAACGACTGAATAAACTGCATGGCATTAAATTCCAATTTTCGAAGATTCTCGGATTTTGTTTCATTGTGGCTGTTATGCGATTCATACAGGAAACCTTTCCTTAGAAACGTTTTTAAGTTTTTTTTATGTGAGGAAGACCACAAATTTGCATCACTATGGGAGGATGCAAGGAGGATTTGTCTTTTGGTTTCCTTTTATAGTTATGAGCATAAGGTTGGGTACTTTTCCATCTTATTACCTTTAGGAGAAAAAGTGCAATGAAAAGCGAACGATTTCAATTAAAGTTAATCAAATTCGTTTTCAAAGCGAGACAGCCGAAAACTTGTCACTTTGGAACACTGCGACGGGCAAATGTTACAAATGTCATTATTCCTGTCGTGATTTTATCTAATCTACACAGCACTTCATGAACGTTTTTCCCTTTATTCATCGCTTGATGTGTTGGAAGACGGCGTGCTGTGCAGTGTGCATGATCTCGACCGAGCTTGACTTTGGCTTGACTTTGAAGCGACTCTAAAAACATGAGCCAATAAAAACGAACAAAAAGACCCTGGTTTACATATAGATGACAATTTTTTGACTTTTGTTCTCCTCTGCATCAAGTTCACTTGATGCAGAGGAGAATCAGAGGAGTTCACTTCAAGGAGAAGTGTGACTTGTACTTCATTTTCGTCTTGGGCAGTTCAAGAACGGTAAAAACTGCTACTTATTCTTTCCGGTAGCAGTTACATCCTACAAGCCAGCAGCCATCGAACAGCGATCTTTTACAGATGAGCAGCGAACATAGCGGAACTCCGTGAAAGGCCGTGTATCGTCTCTCTATCCTGCCGATTCTGTCGGCGACTATGTTGTCAGATCAGTATCGGCGGTTGGAATCTGCGCAAAACAGATAGCTGCGCAACCACGCTGACCTCTGAGAGCGGGGGTGCGCGGCGGCGGACCGGTCGCAGAACCAGTCTGGCACACGCACAGTTCGCTGACCGACCCGGTCGCGTCTCTGACCGCTGACCGCACCCCGCTCCGTGACGCAGCTCTGTCGCTGACGTCAGCCACAGAGAAAAGAAAATGGGGAAAACGGAGAACCTAAATTAGTGAGATAGGTACGCAAATTAACAACGCAAAGAGCTGTCGCAATTTTAGCTCGTTTTGTAGTAGGTAGATGAAAAACAATGGCATGCTTCCGCATTCACTAATAGCAGTAGGGAAGATGGGCTGCGCGAGCCGTTGACAGGTGAAGGCTTCCTATATCTTTTCGTGACAAACACAAACCAACGCTGGCCAAAACCCCTTCCCTTAACCCGCGCCCCGTAGGGCTACCGGCGGACCCTACCACCCGTAGGGGGGGGGGGCCGTTTCGGCCCCCCCTAAGATCTCGGAAAGTTACCGGCCGATTTTCAAAATTCAAACGGCGTTCGATAGCCCCACCCGGGAACTACCTTGTGATCAAATTTCATTGACCTAGGTCAAACCGATGACGTCACAGGTCAGGTCAAAGGTCAGATTTTCACCGTTCACAGGCAATTCAAGAAATGTGCTGTGAAAGCGAGTAAATTGGTAATTTATTGAAAACCATCGATGGTACATTGTTCGTCAAACACATACTTTGCTATCTGAGGTCACTGATACCAGGTCAGGTCACAGCGAGGTCAGGTCACCGGGGGTCACAATATGAATGTGTCGTGTGATACATGTTTTATGGTCCATATTACATGACAAATGCGATTATGTGGGTTAGGCAGCCTTTGGGGCCAGCCTAGGTCACGTTTTAGTGAAGGTCAGGTCAAGGTCAGGTCAAATTAGGTCAAATTTCAAAGTTGATATTTTTGCATAAAATGGGTATCGATTCGATGCAGATCGTCACGGGGAGTCTAATGGTGGTCTTCGTTTTGCTCTACGAGTTCTAGAATTGCCAAAAATTGAGTTTTAAAATTTGACGTCATCATTTTTGAACAGTTTTTTCGCAATAACTTGGCCAAAAAACGAGGTATCGATCTGAAATTTGGTATGTAGATAGAAGACGGTAGGCACTATCACATATATTCCGATTTTTTCGAAACTCAAAAAACTTTTTGGATTTTTTGGCGAATATATCCAAAAAAATGCTTTTTTGATTTTTGGGGGTCAAAATTCAAAAATTTCAAAAATTTGAGATAGCAGTTTTGTAGCCCTGTCAATTTTACACCTTTTATGTCTTGATCATTTTTCTGTATCTTCAAAGCTGTAGTCCTGACAGGTCTTCTCGCGAAGGTCTTTTTTCGGTCGAAAATGACAAAACATGACGTCACTCTGACGTTATTTTTGGCCAACCTATCATAGCCTCTGGAAATTTTTTTTGTCATAATGTGTAAAATTGATGCCCGGAGGGGTCCTGAAAGTTTGGTGGCGATATCTCCAGCCGTTTAGGAGATATCGACCGAAAAGGACAGGGGGGGCGTTTCGGCCCCCCCTACGGGGCGCGGGTTAACATAGGTACACTGAACACAAATCGACACAGTGAGGGCATGTTCTGTACTTGTAACACATCAGCCATGTGTTATCGCACTCGAAACACAATAAGGCTGAGTATTTTCACGCTTGGCGGGACCTTCGACACGTTCGATAACACATAAAACAGAATAATGACACAATTTTCTCGTTCCAAGCACGCTGGACGAATGTAATGCTTCAGTGTATCGAAATCATGTGTTGTATGCTAATTTAGAGCTGTATTGATAAGTTTGATTTTACCCACGAACCGCAGGTGTACCGGACAGTTGACAGTTTGTCCACCAGGTCCGCTGAGCTTTTTTGACCTCAGTGTCACCAATAACACTACAAGTCATTTATATCAATGAGGTTTTCATTTCCTATCGTTTGAGAATTCCCGTCTCAACTTACGCAGTGCTATATAATGTCAGGTCACACAAAAGGGTCACATCGTTATAACACTGTATGTACGGTGGCGGCGTGACATGTAATTATGGCTAATCCTGCATTCAAAATTCATTGATGATGGTTTTTGTCAACCAATCTCACGTCGAGGTCAGGCCAAGGTCAGCTAAAAAAAAGATATATGCTGTTAAGATGGTTTTTGGTATAAAAGGGTGCCCATCATTGGACACAGCTTGTCGCGAGGAATACAACAGCTTTACGTTACGTTACGTGGTCAATATGTCTATAGCTCAAGTTCGAAAATATGACGTTATCAGGTTGTGTAATATTCATGTCATTATGGTACTGTAAACTGAGCTGTTAAACTAAATTTCCTTTTTTTGTCTAAAAATTGAAGGAAAAAACACGTCACTCCTGACTAGTGACTCCTGACCAATTATATATGGCACAACCTCTAGGAATCGTTTTTTATTGCCTTATCCTATATGATAATTGATATCAAGGGAGAAGAAACAGATCACCTTTTTCTCTTCCCTTCCTTCATTTTCTTGATTCAGATAAAACTCAAATTTTAGATGTTCTTTAACATTACATGTTACCTATTTTACCGATTTGACAAAACTGAGGCACGATTAGTTGAGACGAAACTTAGTTTAGCGCATTATGTTTTGAAACGCGTTCGTCAGTGATCAAAGCATAATTATTCACTCAAGTGAGTGAAATTTTAATTGGCAATGACCACGCTTTCCAATTTTTCTTTCGCAGCCCGATATCGAACAATGCGTTTTGTTTTTGTTCCCTGTCAGCTAAACTCTTCCTTCATCCGATCTAATCCGACCAAATCCCTGTCCAGTCGTACACCGGTTGTTGAATGACGTAGGCTTTGAGCACACGTGTACCTGCTTGAGCCTTCAGACGCACGTGCGTTACAGTCGGATACCGCCAATGATATGACGCCAATGTTTTTATGGTGGTAACGCTATTTCAAAAGGGCCGGTTGTCGATGAGAGGAGGTATTGTTTTATCCATCCATCATTTCACTTTTAGGCGTGTTCGCCGCGCCGTACGTGTGTCAACTTTATGTAAGCTTGAAAAATTACCTTTGGTCAAAAAAAAATCAGGTCGAGCTAATGAATTATGTTTTTTTTTCAGGTTAGGACAGACTGCCCAACCTCAGCCACCCAAACGGTTAGCCCGGAGGGATATTTGCCTCTCGCCGTGTTGGGTGGAGTGGAGTGACCGTCAGCCTGAGCACGGATTTACGAGCAGGGACAACCAGAAATGGGTACAGAGGACGAAAAGGACGGATGGTTTCGGGTGACTTCTGATGATCACCCTAGCTTTCTTGGCACTGCACAGATGTAGGTAGCCTTTCATTCAAGAGTCGCAGGAATAGGTTGTGATGGACGAGCGCGACCCACGACCTCTACCCGTCGTCAATATGCACTACAGAGGGCGGCACTGGCCTGACACAGGAGGGCGCAGCTGCTCAGACCGTCCGACGTTAGATGAAACGTCATATCGGGTATATTACTACTTCACATCTAAAGAAAACCGCATGGAGGGGGGCGTTCATCCTCCCGGCCCCATTCCCCGTAGGGCTCAAGGTAGGCGACTTAAGTGACAACCTTACAGAAGACCTATCATGAAACCTTACAGAAGACCTATCATGAAAATATGATAACCGTTTTCACGACGGCCATCTGGTACACATTTGGTGCACATCTGGTGCAGATTAGTTGCAGATTTGGTCGAATTAGGTTCAGTGTGTCTCTTAGTAGCGATCAGCTAGGGTTGCACTAATTGCTTATAGGTATGCCTGTTTTGTCATATTATCAGAGAGTATCATCGATTAAAGGGACTATCCCACCTTTAACATGGGGTTTGAGTTGAGATAGCCAAGTTTGCGGCGAGGTTCAGAAACCACTATCTATCTACGTTGCAACCCCCGCGGCCTCTTGGTGTTGAAGAAATTCGTTCCCTTCATTTGAAAATGGGCCTTGTGCAAGGCCCTATCTTCAACATGGAGCGACCGTTAGTGTGACGTCACCTCGTTTAGTCATTCTGATTTAAATGGGTTTGTTCGTTGAAAAATCGCTTAAAACTTGGTCTGAACTTTGTTGTGGTGCCTACAGAGTAAAAAGAATCAGCTTTATGACAGTAATGTGGCCTGGGGAAGGAGGTAATTTTGGGCTGTGACGTCACATATTTGAAAGTTTGTGTTTGGAATATGGGAAGCCTAAGATGTTTAATGCAAAATAAATGCCAGAACCGTGTTCCTGGTCATCCAATCTATAAAGTCGGGCACAATTTAACTGGTTTTAAGAACATTTTAGAAGGTGTGATAGTCCCTTTAACCCTCGCCGGGCCGGGAGGGGGGTGTTTGAACACACACACCCCCTGCGGTTTTTGGGACACCATTTCATGCATCTTTTCCGCACATGTTGTGAAAATTTCAGACCCAGGTCGCCTTAGGTCAGGTCACCAGGTCACGCCAAGTGACCTCACCTCCGAAAAAATAAGAATGCTCATTGCTCAACATAGCTACACCGACTGATCGATTCCCTTGAAACTTTCAGCGATTGATTAGAGCAACATTTTCTATGCAGTAATCGCCACGCCACGTGCGGATCGCCCATTATCGTAAATACAATACAATACAATACAAAATGTAGATCTCGGAATTTTGATCTCGGTGACCTAAGGTCAGGTCAATTTTGCGGCCTCTCCATTACATATATTAGAGAAAATGGGAGAACATTGAAAAGCGTCTGTTTTGCACGAACGCTATTCTAGACACTCTCAAACATCGAGATGCAGGTAAAATTGACACACTGAACCGGAAAAATGGCAACTGTGACCCCTCGTTATGTCCCCGAGGTCATCTCAGGCCACGAGCAGAATCAACAGTTTTTCGCTAATAACTTCTGATAGAGGCGTGCTAGAGCGCTGAAAACGCCTTAGACGGATTTGTCTCGACGTTGCGGATCGACTGATATGCAACATGACCTTTTCCGGTCATGTCATAACCTTGACCTGAGGTCAAATTTTCAAGTTGCCTTTCAAGGTCAAATTATATTTCATTCGACGCGTTTCGACGAGAGGAACACGATGCTGGCAAAAGTAATGTCATGGCTCTTTTGAGTCAAAAGTTATTGCCGAAAAAGCGCTTTTCGTAAAAACGGCTATTTTTGGAGTTTTTGCCCTCTGAAGGCTAAACCGTTGACCTGAGGTCAAGTCTGAGAGCATTACTCAGAAAGGTCTGTAAAAGGGCTATCGAATGCGCTTTTCCGCGGCGCTGTAGCTCTATCGGTTCCCGAGATAGCCGTTGGCAGTTTCCAAAATGTTGAAATAGTCAACATTTTGCCTTTGGTGACCTCTGGTTACCTTACCTGACCTTTGACCTGACCCAATAAATAGGTAACCGAAGTGTTTTCGTCCTTATTTTTGATGTTCTTTCGATTGCCGCTTACTGCGTGTCGCTACGTGGTCCAGGAGCCTAGTTAGAAGAGGGGGTGTTCAGACAACCCCCCCCCCCCCCCGGCCCGTCGCGGAATCTCGGAGCACCGGCCCGGCGCGGGTTAACCCGCGCCCCACTGGGGTCTGTGTATAACACGCCTCACTGGGCGGGGGGGGGGCTATTCATAGCCCCCCTCCTAACTTCGAAACTACTGGGCCGATCGTCAAAATTCAAACGGCATCTGATAGGCTGATAGCCCCGCAAAAACTGTCCAGCGAAACCTAATTTCATTGACCTCGAGGTCACCGATGACGCCACAGGTCAGGTCAAAAAATATGTGTACACATTTACAGAATTTGTCTATAATAAATGCATATCACTTATGCATACCTAATTTTGGAACATTGTACATCTCTGTAACTGGGTAGGTATATTCTAACTGGGTACCTACATAGATCGCCACAAGAGGTGGTGGTATTTAGTGGTCTTATGTCTTTTCCCTGTTTGTCTTTTACTTCTTCTCGAACTTTTATCCCACATTTTTGTTTTGCCCTTTTCTTTTTGTTAAGCTTTGCTTTTTCTCCCTATAAACATCATACAGTACGTACAGTACTAACTGTATGTCTTTGAATCATCGCCATCGCTCAATGACCTAGCTTTCTTGCTATTTACAGTACTTGCTATTTGTATACCGGTCGTCTCGTCTTGTTTTGTGTACTTATACAAGTCACACTTAACCTGCGCCCCGCTGGGGGGGGGGGGCAGAATCTGCCCCCTTCCCGTTTTTCGCCAATAACTTCTAAACGCGTTACGCCAGCGACGTCAAACTTTCAGTACCTTATCATACATCAATTTGACACGTTCCCTGAAAATTTGGGCGAAATCCGTCGGAATTTTTTTGAGAAAATAACGTTTTAATGACGTCATGTTCGCAATTTTCGCATAAAAAATCGCAAAATTTCAAACGCCGCTAACATCTTCATTTTTAAAGGAATCAAGGCGTAACAAAAAAGATTATACGTGATTCTACTTTGTCTATCAAATGGCTATCTCAATTATTTGAAAATTTTGGATTTTGGCCCAAAATTTTTCAAAAAACCGATATTTTTTGGAAAATAATTATAAAATCCAAAATTTTGAGTGTATCAAAAAAACCGGAATATATGTCAGAGAAGTGGTCTATGTGCACCTACATACCAATTTTGAGAAGAATCGGTTCAAAAATGTGGGAGTTATTCAAAATTTTATGACGTCACGACACAGAAATTTTTTGAAAAATGAATTTTTTGGAAGTTCTAGACCTCGTACGGAAACAAAAATAGTATCATTCGACTCGCCGTGAAAAACTGCATCAGATAGACACCTTTTTAGGCCTTAACAACCAACTTCAAAATTTGACCTCACTTGACCTGACCTTGACCTGACCTCGACCTGAGATTCATCCAGAGGTGGTCCATATCACCAATTGAGTGTGCCTATTGAATTCTATGAATAAAATGACCCATAAAACATGTGTCGCACATGCCCTTTTCAATATTTTTTTTTGGTGACCTGACCTGACCTGACCTGACCTTGACCTTGACCTTTGAATGATATTGTATGCAACGAATATTGTCTTGGTAGCCTAAGAACACGTTTTGGGCAATTAGTCTCAGTCCATTCTTCGGCAATTACGGTGCAAGGCCGATACTGTAGAAACTTGCATTTTGTACCCTTGACCTGACCTTGACCTGACCTCTGACCTACTTAAGCAAAAAAAATTGGGCTCTTAAGATTCGCCTCATTGAGAGCTTTCGATTGCCGTTTTCCCCGTCTTTCTACGACCATCGGTTCAGAAGTTAGACAGGGGGGGGGCAGAATCTGCCCCCCCCCCCCCAGCAGGGCGCGTATGGCTGAATAGCCCAGCGGGGCGCGGGTTAAGTTCTCCTGGATACGTAACAATACGTAAAACAGCCCTACGATGCCTCCCACCGACCTGGATTTACCGAGCAACAAGCTTGCTTAGCTCGGTATCCCTTTTCGGTGAGGATCTGACTCCTCCGGGTATGACTATGGCTCTATCCCTCTTCAATAATGCAAGCTTTGCATGCGCTTATTACCAACCACTAACCCCTGGATCACTCTCTCCTTCTCACTATTTTCTTTGGGAATGGTGTGGCGGCCAGTCAAGCTACATTTAGTCTTGACTTCTTTGCCTCTTCTTATGACAATTTACTAACTTACTAAGTATTGCATTTAGCCTTGTTTTTGAATTATAAGTGGAAAACAATGGGAACGTTTTTGGTTATATTACTTTAAGTTGGCTACACATGTGTTTCGATATAAATCTTTTTCAAGCCATAAAGACAAAATAAAATGCAAATAATTCGCCTAAACATCAAAGTTGTCAAAATAGTTTGCGGCACAGATTAAAATTCAAATAGCAATGCTTCACACCCGTCGCTTCTCACTTTGCACTTCTGGTTTTTAGATCGTGCAAAATAAGTTCAGCCGTAAATCTGCTCAGTTTCACTTTTCCTGCATTACCATTTAGATTGTCAAAGATGTGAATATAAGCTGCTTCTACAGCCTGCCTATGCTTCTTTGTCAAACCCCTACACAACACAGACATATCATCCCAGTTGGGGAGATGTCCCGCCTCATCTACGTGTTGCACAAGGGCGTTGGACAGACGGTGGTACCTAAGGTCACTCTTATGCTCCTTTTGCCTGGTTCTAATGCCCCTGTATGTTTCACCGACGTAACATTTATCACATGCACCACAAGGAATTTTGTAAACGACACTATCCTCATTAGTAGAACCTTTCTTCTTCGTTTGCACAAGGTTTTTAATGGTCAGGCCCGCTGGGGATGAAATATTGATAGTTTCCCTTACAAAATTGTCCACAGCTTCTACTTCTTTTGATGCTGGGACTGAGAGATACCTCCTCTTGCTATTCCTTGTGGCGTTTGAAGCTCTAGCTCGTATTTTGACGGCCCTCTTCTCTAGCTGACATAAAAGACCTGGCGGGTACTTGAGTCCAATAAATACTTCTTTAATGTAGTTCAGCTCGTCCCTGATAAATTCTTCTGAGCAAATGCGAAGTGCTCGAAGATAAAATCCCAGCACGACTCCAGTTTTTGTTCGACTGCTGTGCGCCGAGTAGAAGTGTATCAGGTCATTCTTGTTGGTGGGCTTCCGGTACACTGAAAATACAGCCTTGTTGCCCCGATTATGGATGCACGCGTCCAGAAATGCAATAGTGCCATCTTCCTCCTCTTCGGAGGTAAATTGTATCTTCTGATGCACACTGTTCAACTGCTGCAAAATACAATTTAAATCGACATCTTTGTTGATGATGACCAGAATGTCATCGACATACCGGAGCCAGGTCGTATCGGTACCAGCAATGCTCAAGAAGTGGTCCGCTTCTAATGTCTCCATGAAAAGGCAGGCGAGTACCGGGCTCAACGGCGAACCCATCGCCAGGCCATCAATCTGCTTGAATTCGGTCCCTTCAAATTCCAAAGCCCCAAATTCCACGCAGAGACGTACCAGCCTAACAAAGTCTTCCCTTGGCACTGGAAGAGTGATGTCCGGGTTTTGGTCTAACACTCTGGAGATAGTGTTATAGCAAGAGGAGCAAGAGGAGGTATCTCTCAGTCCCAGCATCAAAAGAAGTAGAAGCTGTGGACAATTTTGTAAGGGAAACTATCAATATTTCATCCCCAGCGGGCCTGACCATTAAAAACCTTGTGCAAACGAAGAAGAAAGGTTCTACTAATGAGGATAGTGTCGTTTACAAAATTCCTTGTGGTGCATGTGATAAATGTTACGTCGGTGAAACATACAGGGGCATTAGAACCAGGCAAAAGGAGCATAAGAGTGACCTTAGGTACCACCGTCTGTCCAACGCCCTTGTGCAACACGTAGATGAGGCGGGACATCTCCCCAACTGGGATGATATGTCTGTGTTGTGTAGGGGTTTGACAAAGAAGCATAGGCAGGCTGTAGAAGCAGCTTATATTCACATCTTTGACAATCTAAATGGTAATGCAGGAAAAGTGAAACTGAGCAGATTTACGGCTGAACTTATTTTGCACGATCTAAAAACCAGAAGTGCAAAGTGAGAAGCGACGGGTGTGAAGCATTGCTATTTGAATTTTAATCTGTGCCGCAAACTATTTTGACAACTTTGATGTTTAGGCGAATTATTTGCATTTTATTTTGTCTTTATGGCTTGAAAAAGATTTATATCGAAACACATGTGTAGCCAACTTAAAGTAATATAACCAAAAACGTTCCCATTGTTTTCCACTTATAATTCAATTTGTCTATCTATATCAATCTATATCAAGCCTTGTTTTTGTTTGCTTTCCTTTTTCTTAGCAGGGAGTGTCGCGACGCTTCATATTTTTGTCTTGGGAGGTGTTAACGTAAGGTTCTGTTGTCGCGTGGGTGGACACTCCTGGCCGTCTGATCATGCAGGCGGCGGCTTAGAAAAATAAAAATAAAAATAAAAATAAAAATTATCGATATTTGGCTTGTTCACTTTTTGGGCTCTGGCGCTGCCGTCTTATACCTAAGTCAGATCAAGCTGAATTTTGGTTTACACACTCGTGAACAGATGCTTTAGATACCCTGAGGGTAAAAAACTTGTACTTTAATTTTCAGGTCAGGGTCAGGTCAGGTCATCATAGGTCACGGAAATCTTATGTCATAAGTCGGTCACGTGACATATGTTTTATGGTCCATTTAGGCCATAGATTTCGAATTCGGTGTCGCCTGTGTCATCTGAGGTCATTTTCATCTGAATACAGCTGAGGCCAGGTCACTTTCAGGTCAAAAATGTCAAATTTCAAAGTTGAATTTTTTCAACAAAGAACATGTCTATCGGATGCAGTTTGAGCTCAGAAACACGATGGTGCTATTTGTATTGGTGTACAATGTCAAATTGGCATAGCAAAATTGATTTGAAAAAATTAAAATTGTGAAATTTTTGCTATAACCCAGCCAGCAATTTTGCTCCGGGCCCAAGCAGGCTCAAGTGCGGATTGCCCGAGATTTTTAGTCGGGCTAAAGTCGGCTAGGGCTTGGGCTAAAGTCGGCGTATGACACAAATACGCCGACTAAAGCCCATGCTCTGCCGGAGGTATGCCCGCTCTGCGAGCTCCGGACAGCCGTAGTTTAGCCCTAGTTGAGCGACGATTGGCGTTAGCCCGATTTAAGCCCGAGCAGTGAATCCATTTATATAATGGAGATTACTCTGGGCCCGAGCGGGCTGAACTCCGGCAAGCCCACTCTGTGTGCCCTGTCTATCCCGACTTAAGCCATAGAAGTGAATGGGGTTTATACATTGCAAACTGCTGTGGCTTTGCTCGGGTTCGGCTCGAGTGATGGCTCCTGTTTTCTCAAGTCTCGACTTGACTTCATCTTGCTTTTGCTTCACACTGGATCAAGTAGCAAGGAGCAGCCAATGCACTTTCAGCAGGTTGTGCGGTTTCAATGCATATTTAAAATTGTTACGGTCACTCATATGCTCTGTTAACCGGTCATCGAGGCTCGAGCATTGCAAAAGGAAAGTAGTGGTTGACTTTGATTGAATGTTTATTTCAAACGACTACAGACACGTCAAATGAAACACAAATACATGAAACAGTGGACTGCAAACTGCAGCAGTAATATGGCATGAGTCATGAAAAAACGCCATCAAAACTATAAAACAATCACAAGGCCCGCTAGCCTCCCTCCCCGTTCATAATACTTGGTTAAACACGCAACTGAAAGCATAAAGTAAGGACGGCAAGTAATCGCTCATAAGACAAAAAGCAATAAGCAAACAATCGTTTATAAGGAACTTCACTCTGGTGAATGGGAGCTTTGGAGGCGTCTGGCTCCTCCACACACACACACATCTGCAGTAGGTGGTCGGCCATCTTTCGGCGCAGTTTCCATATATGTAGGTATACCTACTTAATTATAAGCAGGCAGTTTCCGCTAAACCACTTGGCGAGGGCGACTGCGGCGTCCACCCGGTCCTGGTTTGTATAACTATTCCATTTTTTGGAACCATTTGCTCTAATGGTACGTACCTGAAAAAGAGATTAATTGGTTTAATTTACATTGCATGTTTGCTTGAAAAATAACTTATTGATCCATTAATACTGTAAAAACACTTCTCATTGATCCGTATAAAATGTTCATTTGATTTTAAATGCGGACAGAGAATGAGCGTGCTCGGTGATAAGTAGATAAATATTTGTGTTTTGTATTTCATTTTCCTGGGTCAGAAGTGCTGGTATTTCACAAAGATATAAAGGCACGGAATGCAGCTTTTCTGAGCGAAGGTATAAGTCGCCAGGCTGAACAGCTATTCAGCTTCATGTTTGATGGCGTCAAACTCAGTCAAAATCATGACGTTTACATACGATCAAGCGCACCATTCAATACACTTACCTACCGTAAAACTTCATGCCAGTCCACTTGATAAGAGCAGTGAGCACTATCCCTTCTTCGCGCTGTCACACGCGCCCAAACATCAACCACCAAATGCCCCAACACCGGTGTGTCGTTTCGTCGCACAGCGCACAGACTGTCACAAACGCTGCACATGATTGGCGCAGAACTGCGCATGCGCGAACAGCCGAACAAGTATGGCTAAGCTCGGGCTTTACTCCAGTTAGCCGAAGGACACAGCCAGCTTGATCAGCCCGCGCTCCGCCCAAGTTAAGCCTGTTTTGGATGCGCGGGCAGATGTCGGGCTGAGCTACTGCTATCCGCACGTGGGCATAGCTGCGGCATGCCCCAGCTCAGCCCTAGTAAAAAATGCATTGGTTTTGATCAAAGTGGGCAAACCCAAGCTAAGCCCAAGCTGCCCGACGCCTGCCACAGTTCAGCCCAAGCGAATTGCTGGCTGGGAATGCGTATAACTTGGCCATTTTTGAAGATATCTGCCTAAAACTTGCTAGAGTAAGTCATAAGCATGTGTTCTATCATATATATTCCGTTTTTTTCGAAAAAATCAAAAAGCTTTTGAAAAATAAAATAAAAATATTGAATTTCAATAAATATAATTTTCTTAAGTTTCAAAATTTTGGAAAATTCGAGAGGACAGTTTGATAGCGCAGTCCATTCTGAGTCCTCTCATGCAAAGAAATTGGATCTAACTAAAAAACTGAGCTCTTGGGAGCGATTGCCGTGGTTCAATGTTTTGCGTCGAAATCGGCCGAACATGACGTCACTCTGACGTCATTTCCGGCCGACCTATGATATATATATACGAGGCTCAAATTTTGAGACAAGGTGTCAACTTGATGCAGCCGAAGATACTGAAAGTTTGGCGGCGATACGTCAAGCGGTTTAGAAGTTATTGCAGAAAAACGGAAGAGGGGGGACTTTGAATAGCCCCCCCCCCCGCAGTGGGGCGCGGGTTAAGTTTTATCTCAGGATAAAAATAAAAGCCACCGTCAAAACTGAACGTTCCAGTTTGCTGTTGCCTGTTTCTTGCCCACTGCGGTGGACAGTGCGCTGGAGCGTGATTTGAAGACCTCTGGTTTGGAGACCCCCACCAGCTGACTGCCGCCAGCGGCGGTAGCGGCGCGGCTGCGGCGCGCGCGCTCGCCAGTCGGCTGGTCGATTGCCGTGAGGGTGGTGTGTGATCCTGCTGCATTGCTCACGTATAACCTTCTCCAGGTGAGTTTTACTACATCTGGCATTTAGCTGGACCTCCGCTGCATGCCAGACTGCTGTCAGATCACCCATCGCGTGGTTCGACAGCGCTTCCGCGTTTGTAGTTTCGATTGTTTTGAGGCACCGCGTGTCCCAAGTGGGCGGGTGTTTGGTTTGAATAAGGGCGGTAAAATTTGAAAGTGCTCGCCGGTAGTCAGGTGTGCTTCCGTGAGGAAATGGTAGGCTGTCAATCGTTTGATTTGTCAGCTGAGATACTGCTAAAAAAGTTTTTGTTTATACATAGTTGGGTTGGCTCTTCATCTTCTTCCCTCCGGTAATTAGGTGGGGTGGCCATCGCTGGATCTCGGTCCATATTCCTTCAGGCGGTGTGCCGTGGGCGGGACGCATTTGGAGACTGAACGGTCTGTCAGGACTGTGGCGTGAATTTATTGTAATAGGCCAGCTAGAGACTGGTAGTGGCTGGACTATTTCGATGGATCACTGGTAGTGGCCCGTCTGGGTCAAACGGCCCAAAAGACAACACTGAATGAAAGGCCGGACGACGGTGAAAACAGGGCGCCTGGGGCGATTTGATCAAGTTTCGTGAAATTCACACGTGACGTTTGGCATGTAGAAGTGCCCACGGAGGGGGAGAAGTTCCAAATGTCACGTGACTAATATGCCCTCCGGCGCCCTGTTTTCACCGGCGTCCGAAAGGCCCTGTCCACTCCGGGTCATGGACGGTGGACAGGACCGCTCGGCTCGTGTCAGTGACCAATTTGGGATGGGACTCGTTTGTCCTGCTCATGTATAGGTATACCTCTACCTACATACTGACTGATGAGACTGAACCGTCATGTCAGTAACTGGGTTGCCTGGTTCATGACTCTGGTGATGACTGGGCTGGACTGGGGGACGCAGTCTGATTCGGGTAGTTACTGAGTGTACTACCTCCTGGACAACTGAACAGTGGACGGTCCGGGTCGCAACAGTGCCACACGTGCTGTGTTTGACCGATGGCTACACCGCCACAGTGCAGCCACTCCCGTCCGCCAACCGGTTTACGGTTTCTATTTCGATATCGGCATGAGTCATAAGCACCAGTTTTTAATGCACACCTGCAGTTGATTGCCATAGGATACAGGGCATGGCCTTATGTGACAATGCATTCGTGTATTACTAATGGGACTGAACTATCCTCTTTCGATAAGCGAATTTCAATTGAAGCCCTGAATAGAAGCTCACAGGTCTAAATCTTTTTAACACCATGCAAAACCTTCCTGTTTTGCAAAACTTTCTGTTGATGGCTCGCGTTGGATTTTGGATGGTTGAAGCTAATTTCAAGGTTTCCGCTTGCTTCACACTTTGGATTTTTTGTTAGTTTCTCAAAGCCAAGTGATACCGTTCAGCTACAAATAACTGCATATAAGTCTCTGCCTTTGCTAATGATGACTCACTTGATACGACTAATGTCACTGTCTGAAGGATCTTCTAAAAATCGAGCTTAGGTAAAAATAAAGCTAAGACCACTGCATAGCAGCCATGCAGAGCACTCGGCGCCCGTTTTATGCCAAATCCGCGTAACGTGCTAAAGCCAGTTCACAGCGTTCCTGGCATTCCTTCTGCCGTTGCGGGTTGCACCTTACGAATTCTTTGCATAGGGACACGCACGGCCTGTCCCGTCCGCCAGGGCGGCTTTGTAGATCGGGTGCAGGCGCAGACCTCACGTGTAGAGCTCCACGGCTTATGGACGTGGCGTGGACGAGAGTGGACTGGACGTGGACGTGATTCGAGCGTGGCCGTGGACGTGGACGAGCTGTGCTATAGGCAGACTACCGGATCAGCTCGGCTTTTGATATATGACGGCAGACCTGTAATTCTCTGTCTCATAATTAGTTTCAAAATTGATTGAACTCTCGAGCCCGTTTAACCCTATTAGTGGCAGGCTCCTGGCTACCCCTGGGGCATTCCACGATAGATCGTACCACTTTTTTCCAATTTGACACCCTCATCTCTCGGAATTTGACGATAATTGGTCTCAGGGGTAATCAGGGGCTCTGAATCCACCTGTAACAATTTCAGGCTTATCAGATAAGTATTTTTTGAGTTATGGTGTATAACATTTTTTGGATCTTGCTTTGCAGCGCTAAGTTTGGCGGGCTGTAACTCTAAGACGGATTATTCAAATGCCAAATGTTATATAATATTGAACTTGCAATGAAACAGAGATTAATATGTATTTTTGAAATTTCGAAAAATACGCTATTTTTGATATATGACATATCAAGTTTTATTTCATTTGTATTTTTTGGACTTTGGGACCAAATTTTTTTGAATTTTTATTTCTTTAAAAAAATATTTGGCTCATTGTTAAGAAGTATGCAAAAAGATAGGAAGGTGTTCTTTCTATAAATGTATTTATTTTACGTCACGATAACGGTTTCAAATAGTGATTTCGGGAGGGGAGCATACAAATGGCGTGGTAAAGCTGCCTAGTGACATCACGGGTTACTCAGGTTACTGAAATTTCAATTCAAGTCTGAGTCATCTGAAAAAAGTGAAAAGAGGGTTCATTCAACCCTCTTTCCTATAAGCGCGAGGGTGAAAAAGGCTGTTTGGTTCTGACATTGTTTTGGACGCCAATGACCATAGCTGTCCGAGATGAAAGTTACAGGACGCATACATGGTGTCCTCCAGAGGTCTCACAACTTGTATATCTGGAAATTTTTCAAGGTTACATGAAGTCAGGTCGGTCACGTGACATCACTGTTATAAATCAATGGGGAAATATAAAAACTGTTATTTTGGCGTTGAGAATGATCTAAAACTGTCCCACGTACATGGTATCGTGATTTCATGCACTCCTTGCAAAGTCCAATGCTTTACTTTTGCATTGTTAACCTTGCGTGACGTCATTTATGACGTCACTAGGGTCGTACGAGTTTTTCGTCAATAACTCCCGATCAAATGGAGCTAGAGAGTCGGGAAAGCCACCAATGGACTCGGGAAGACCTTCCGAATCGAATGATATGCCATATGATACCCTTCGCCCAGCTTCGTGACCTGAGGGGCTCTGACCTGACCTTGACCGGAGGTCAACTACTTAAGTTGACCTCACCCTAGCAAAAAGTATACCATTCGATGCACCTGAGCTAGGCGAACACAATGATGCCAAAATTGCGGCTCTGCGGCCATTTTTTGCGAAGTTATTTACTAAAAACCGAACCCGTAACTTCAGTCACGTAACCTGACCTCAGACGCTACCGGTTAACCTGAGACCTTAAAATCGGGTACCAATCGCTGCGACTTGTAACGGCACACACGCTCGTTTTTTCCGCGAGGCTCTAGCTCTATTAGAAGCGAAACGGCGTGCTGGGGTCGTATCAACCCCTCCGAAACCCATTTTGTTTGCGGGAAAATGAGGAACTTTTAGAAAGAACACCCTTCTAATTTTTTGCATGTCGATTTGCAATGACATGAAGATTATTTTGAAAAAATAAAAATGTGAAAAATTTTGGTCCCAAAAGTCATTGGAGGCAAATGAAAAAAGATTAAGGTTTTTGCTCAACAATGAAATTTTTTCTTTGGAATTTTTAAATAGTAATATTAATTTTTGATTCATCGCCAGCTTAGTGTTGTTTACTTTTTGTTGGTTGCTTAACCTGTTCTTGAGTTATAGGCCATCAAACTCACCGTTACATACCGAAGTTAAAAAAATGTAATGCAATATAACTAAAAAAGTTTTGATATGAGAAGTCTGATATTTTGCCAGGCGTCTTTGGGGCCTATGATTACCCCTAGGACCGATTTTCATTAAAATCTGAGAGATGAGGGTGACGGGCCTGGTATGATCTATCGTGGAATGCCCCCCTATTAGTGGCAGGGGGGGGGGCTGTTTACGACCCCCCTTGATATCTCGAGATCTAACGGGCCGATTTTCAAAATTCAAACGGCATTCGATTTCGCTCAACGTGATCTACATTTCTAAAAAATAAAAATTAAAAAATGTCAATAGGGGGGGGGGGGTAGAGGGGGGTAAAAACGGGCAAATTGCAGATACATTTTAGACTGTTTATCACGGCCAGGTTTCTGAACCAATCTTAACGCAACTTTTGCCGATCGATAGAGAATGAACCAGGAATTCACATGGATCCTAAAAATATGCATTTTCAAAAATCATAGGCGGATACAGATCATTGAGATTGGGGGTACACAAAAAGTATAGTAAATAGGAGGTTTTTGTTGGTACTGTTTCTAAAAAGGGTGGTAATGGTCTTGTTATGTTACAATTTTCTTATGAGAGAACGACTACAATTGTATTGGTCATGCATAGGCGGTGTCAGGGCACCTATGTTGGGAGGTAAAACATAACCCCCCTTTTTGGACGCCTGGATCCGCCTATTATAGCAAAAACGTGTCAAAAGAGGATGCACAATAACTGTATATGTTATCACATGATACCTTTCATTCACTGTTCGTAAAACTGGTGCAGCATCGTGATCTTCGCCCAAATGACTCGCTTCACGAATAGGACCCCCCAATTCCCAGTGCTCTGGAGCCGCCCCTGGTAAAGTTATGAACTTGAAATTTACAGGGAATGTGCCCAATTTAGTTTTAGGAAAAGTCAGAAAATTTCAGCATCGTAGCTTCAGCGGTTTCGGAGATATTCCCGAAAAACCTGAGGGGTGGATAAAAACAACCCCCCCCCCTGCCACTAATAGGGTTAAACGTTAACCGCCTTTGGAACATTTCTTCTAAAGCAGACGATGGTGATTTTAAAAGCAACACTTGTTTGTTAAAGCGTGGTAAAAGAAACGATTCAAATGGCGAAAAAAAATCAAAGATAGGACAGCGAACATGCCTACTTTCTAAAAATGGCGCCATTCGGCCCGGCTGTCGTTGGGCCGTTGGTGTGGAGCTGAGAACTGTTGGTCTGACTCCGGCGTGACTCCGGCAGCGATGCCAGGTGCGGGGCCGTCCCGGGCGCCCCGGCTCCCACGGACTGGGACTCGGCCGCGGCCCGT